AACCTCATACTTGGTTTTATTATCTCCTCCTTCGTGTCTTCCTTTAAAAGGAAGTTGTATAGTTTTTGTATTAATTTGTCTGCTGAGGAAAGCCAGATTTTATCTAACTCTGAGTTTGTTCTAGCAAAGTCTCTTATTTTGTCCTTAGTATATCTTGATTTTAATTGGATCTTTTCCCAAGTTGTTAAATTAATGTTTAGGGTTTGTAAGGTTTCAAAAGATTTTAATTCATTTTCTTTTGTAAGTAATGTTTCATAACTGACCATCTTACTTCCAGTTAGTAAACTAGGCATTATAAACGCCTCCAGCGGGGAGACCCATCTCGGTATCTTTTCGTAGAATTTCTCTTTTATTTTTCTCCTGTTTTTAATTAAAGCATCTCTTACGATATAGTTGTGGAAATGGTGCTGAGTCCGTTCTTTGTCATACCATACATAGGCGTGCCAGCCCATGTATAAGTCATAACCTTCTAGTTTTAGCAATCTTCTGTTCTCTAATGTCAGCCAATCTCTTATCCACCCCATAGCCGCAGCGTTGTAGTAAAGTTGCCAATCCGGGATACCGAACACTCCTCTTTCTTTTTTATCTCGAAGTAATTTCAGCTTAATCCTTGCTCTTTTTGCCTGCCAGATAAATTTTCTTACTCGTCGATCTAGTTCTTCGGTAAATTTATTATTTTTTAGTATCAGCAAGGATTGCGCTAGGAAAAGGAAACAGGGTAGGATGTTCATTGTTATCGTGGCAATTCTACCCATAAATGAAATGTGTAACTCTTGCCATTTCTGTAGGTCTTTCTTAATGTCTTCTAATAACACTTTGTAGTTATTATCATATAGATGTATGTTCTTATCTCTGAGCGTAATTCCTAAGTATTTTACTTTATTTACAATCTCCATGTTCGTAATTTGTTGTATCTTATTTATTTATTTCTTACTACAATTCTTTGTTAAGATCTTCGGGTTTTTGATGTTAATTTTCAGTCCTGCTAGGGCCCCATATTCTTGTATTTTCCTCATTAGGTACATAATAGATGTTGTTGGTTCTTCCATTATAAAAACCAGGTCGTCAGCAAAGGCCTGGAGTTTAAACTGTTTGCCTCTGATTTTAAGTCCTAAAATATTTGTATCATTCCTCACCATCTCAGTTAAAGTTTCTAGCCCAAAGATAAACAATAAGGGTGAAAGTGGGCACCCTTGTCTTGTTCCTTTCTGTATGGGAACTTTTTGTGTTAAGTCACCATTGATAATTATCTTCGCCCATTGCTCTTTATAGATAGTAGAAATCATTTTCATAAAGTTGTCTCCACATTCCCATAGTTTAAGTTTGCATTTTAAGAAGTCCCAGCTAACATTGTCAAAGGCTTTCTCCGCATCTAAAAAGATCAGCGTGGCTTGTTTTCCCGGATTATACTGGTAAAACTCTAGGATATCTATAATAGCTCTTACATTATTTTTTAGCTGCCTTTTCAGGAGAAAACCTGCCTGTTCCTGATGTATTACTTGGACCATTACCTTCTTAAATCTTGCCGCCAGAATTGATGCAAAGATCTTATAATCAACATTTAGAAGAGAAATAGGTCTATAGTTTTTGATTTCATCTTCTTCTGTATTGGGTTTGTGTATTAGGGTTATTATTGCTTCATTCCACGTTTTAGGGGCATTTCCTGTCTCCATGATGTTCTGTAATAGATCTTTAAAGGTATTTATTATTTCGTCCTCGAATTTATGATAGATTTCTGCCGGTATCCCATCTGGCCCAGGTGTTTTCTTCTTCTTCTGTTTTTTTTAGGGCTTCTATTATTTCGCACATTGTAATTTTCTCATTCATCCATCTCTTCTGTTCCTCCGTGAATTTTCCTTTATTATATTTCTTGAAAAAACTTTCTAATTGTTGTGTACATGGCGACATCTTATACAGTTCTCTATAAAAAATTTCCACAATATCCTTTAATTCTTGCATGTTAAACTTCCTCTCTTGTCTTTCGTTCTTTAAAGCTATGATTGTTCTTTTCCCTTTTTCCTTCCTCAGTTTGTACGCAAGCCATCTTGTAGGCTTATTTGCATTTTCAAAATAGTATGCTTTTGCATACTCTATTTTGTTGGCCAATTCCTGCTCTAGGAGCATATTTAGTTGATGCTGAATCAATTTTATTTTGGTTATTGCTTCATTGTCCCCTCCCTTCCTTTTTGATTTATCTTCTTCTTTTTTTAGTTCTTCCATTAGTTTTTTAAGTTTCTCCCTTTTTTGTTTTTTCTTCCATATATCTTGAGTAATGAATAGCCCCCTCAAATATGCTTTCAGAGTGTCCCATATTGTATTCAGCACCATATTTTCTGTTTTATTCACTTTTAGGAATTCTTTTATTTCTACCTTAATCTTTTCAACAAACTTTTTATCTCGTAAAAGTCCCGTATTTAACCTCCATTTTGGTGATCTCACATTTTCTTTCAGTTCTAACCAAGTTGGATTATGGTCTGCAAAGGAGCCCGGTAGTATTTCTGCTTCTACTAGCTCTCTTGCCAAATTTATGCTTATCCAGATCATGTCTATTCTAGACCATGATCTATGCGAAAAATAGGTAAAGTCTCTTTTTTGCGAGTTTTTTGTCCTCCAGCTGTCTATTAAATTGAATTCTTCAGCTAACTTTATAAAGCTCAGCGGTAGACCTGGGCCCAACTTTGTGGTTTTATTTATCTTATTCCTATCTTCTTTGGGGTCCAGAACTGCGTTAAAGTCACCTACTATGCAGATATTTTCCGGATTTCCCTTCACTAATATATTTGTAAGTTCTTTAGAAAACAACTCCTGATTTTGATTGGGTGCATAAATATTTGCTATCCAAATTTCTTTCGCATTACTTCTAATTGAACTCCTCGCATGGAAAACGGCCTTTTTAATTGCTATCACATCGGCAAGGCGAGTTGGAGAAATATTGGTTTTCCGACACGATACACCTTACCTATCGTTTCTGCCAGATGGAGTTCGCCTCATCCCGGACATCTCCTTCCTGCCGAAGGTGGTGTCAGAGTTCCACCTGCAGGCGGAGGTCTTCCTCCCTGATTTCTTCCCAAATCCAACATCAGCGGAAGACAAACTACTCCACACTTTGGACGTGAAGCGGGCTCTCCTGTTCTTCCTCTATAGGACATGCCTGATTAGACGAGATTCACAACTGCTCGTCTCTTACGCGTCAGCACGACTGGGCACTCGCATCACGGCCCAGTGCCTGTCAAAGTGGATTGTGGTCTCATCTGTCTGTGTTACCAGATCACCAAACAGCCATTGCCTGGCCCTATCAGGGCTCATTCTACCAGGGCTGTCGCGACTTCCACTGCCTTCCTCCAGGGAGTGCCACTGATGGACATTTGCAAAGCCGCTACGTGGGCCACGCCTAATAAGGCACTACGCCTTAGACGTCCGTACAAACACCAATGCCAACATGGGATGTCACATTCTGTCTTCGGTTATGCAGTAAAAGACCTGCTAGCACCCTCCTCCAGGTAGGCTACTGCTCGCTAATCTCCCATGGGTGTGAAGCACAGAGACCACGTTGAAGATAAGCAGGTTGCTTACCAGTAACTGGTGATCTTCGAGTGGTCATCCGTGCATTCACACCACCCGCCCTCCTTCCCCGCTGCTGTCAGCTTCTACATTTTTAATAGGGGTTGATTTGCGGTGGTTTATAGGAACTGGCAGGATGTCCGTGCCCACCCCTCTGGGCATGCGCAGTGGGGTTCCTGCGCATGCCCGAGGGACTGGGCGCAAAAATCCATTAAAAGAGCTTGCTACAGTAGTGATCGATCCAGCGCGTGCGCACTAGATCCCATGGGTGTGAATGCACAGATGACCACTCGAAGATCACCAGTTACTGGTAAGCAACCTGCTTTTATCTTCTCTACTAGACCCAGCTAATCTACCTACACTTAGGCTCGTGTAACTTGGATGTGTAGTACTGAGATATACTTCTAAATGTGTAGATTTGCTCTAATCCAAGTTCATTGCTTGTTCTCATTAAAGGTAATTTAGATGGGATCCTTCGAACATTTGATCTCTTCACTGCCTACAACCCTGGCTACTTTGTGGTAGATGTCATGGCTTCAGACCTGACTGGTCACAATGACACTGCTGTTGTGGGAATTTACATCCTGCGGGATGATCAACGGGTCAAGATCATAATCAACGAGATCCCAGATAAAGTACGGCAGTTTGAGGAGGAATTCATCAGCCTGTTATCTAACATCACAGGGGCCATTGTCAATACAGACGATGTGCAGGTAATAATTCATTAAAGGCAACACAACCTTGTGAGCTATTAAAACGTGTTCCCTCTGTGTCAAGAGTGTTGGATAAAAGCAGGACCAGCCTTCTGGGGTGGCACACCCTGGAGCTGCCTTGTCACAGGAAAATGTCATAGCATGTCATGTAATCAGCTGCCTAGAAGAAGGGCCATCTGTTTTCTCTCCTTTATAGTTCCATGTTGACAAAAAAGGCCGAGTGAACTTTGCCCAAACAGAATTACTGATCCATGTGGTGAACCGGGAAACCAACCGGATTCTGGATGTAGAACGGTAAAGATGTTGTGTCTCTATATAGGTTTAGACTGGAACATAGAGTGAAAGGTAGGAACTGAGAGTCCGTGTTACAGACAAGAGTTAGCATTGTTAAACAGCAAGTAAGTTTAATCATACTTTACCATCTACATAGCATTTGTTGTATTCAAAGCATTTCCCATACGTTATGAGTTCCTGTTTAAAACTGCCTTATAAAGTAGATTGCAGATGAGGGGTGGAGGGAGTGAGGTGGGGAATATAATGTCTTACCCAAGGCTAACTAATGATTTCATGGCCAACATGGGATTTGAAGTTTCCAGCATGTACTGCTAAGGCAGAATTACATGTTATTATGTAGTTATGTAATTCTTTTCACTAACTATTTTTATTTTACACGTTTTTAAAGGGGGAAACTTACCCATTGTTCTATACATCCTCTTCTTTTACAGAGTTGCCCTTCCTAGGAACTCTTAACGTCAACAGTTAAGAAGGGACCCTTTAACTGACAGACAGCAAAAAACTGCTTCAGTTTTGATGTTAGCATAAGTAACAAATTCTATCATACTCAGCACTTTGTCACTTCAGAACACTCTGTTTAAAATCTTCAGAGGAGTTTCAAGTAAATAGCTAACAGTGCAGTCCTAAACACCTTCTAAGACCATTGACTTCAGTGGGCTTAGAAGGGTGTAACTGTGTTTAGGATGGCACTGTAAGCAGCTTCAGCTTAAACAGACAGAAAGTCTTTGCCCCCATTGCTTTAGTTTTGGCAGCAACATAGTCAGTAAGCATCTGACTAGATTCTGAAACCTATTTCATTTTTAACCAATGCTTAAAACCTCTAATGATCAAAGCAGCAAAGCGAGCACTTAAAACGTCTATTGATCAAAGCAGCAAATAAATATTTAATCAAATCACCTAATCCAGGGTCATACAGCCATTGATTCTCCATGGAATAACTTTTTGGCTGTGATCTCATGGTAGTGAGTCACACAAAACCTGTTCTTGTACTTCTAGCTGCCCCATCACAGATGTTACACCTGAATTTTGAGCCTTGTGGTAAAAAAAAAAAATAGCTTGGTACATTTGTTTCAATATGCTTTTAATGCTGTTTAATGGTGTGGGTTTCTACTTCCAGAGTCTACTGAATTGGAAACTATAGCAGGGAGGTGAGGGTTGATCATCCCTGTCATTAGCAGGGGTTTTTAAAGTTTTTGTTTTGTTTTAGCAAGGTAAATTCATAATTAAATGTGTGTCTCCAGAGTTATACAGATGATTGATGAGAATAAGGAGCAGCTGCGGAATCTCTTCAGGAACTACAACGTCTTGGATGTGCAACCAGCCATCACAGCCAGGGCCCCCGATGACCTCTCAGCACTGCAGGTAAGATGGAGGGTATGGTTCTTTACACCTGAATTCCCACTTAGCTTCCAGCTACCAAGCTTTTCTGGAGGTCTCCCCCAATGATCGTTTGGATTCAGTCATACTGGAAGAAACTAAGCTTTCATAAATTATCACCTAATATCACCAGCTTCTTCACTAACAGAGGCCCCCTACATCTTCAGGTAGCATGCAACAGCCAAATATTATATTTACATTTATTTATTTATACATTAAATTTATGAACAGCCTAGTACATCGTCCTCTGGGCGATGTACAACAGTAAATAAAATCCAATATGAACATTCAGTATGATCTTAAGAACAATTCCCAGATGGCGTCCATGAGTTGAATTTTAAGCCAGTTCCGAACTGTGTTGCCACCTCACAGGCAGGACCAGGAGGAGGCCAAAAGCGATAAATATAGCTGAACCTGCCTGTCATGCACCACAATTGTTCTTATAGGGAAAGGAGCTGACAACCTTAGATCAGGGCCTCTCAGAGGTCAAGAGAGGCCCAGACCACTTCCATTTTTAAAGGCCCAGGTGGCAGCAGCAGTGGTAGGGGGCAGGGAGCCACACCAGGCCCACCTCAGCTCCTGGCCTCCTCCACCACCACTAGGGCCCAGCGCAGCTTCTTGCCTCATTGACAGCAACAGTGGAGGAGAATATTAATTCATAGAGTGCTACAGGAAGTATGGCCCAGTAAAGAGATGCAAGTTTCAAGATGTATGATGAATGTCATCTTCTTTCAATCCTTCAGTGTATCTATGTGATTGTATGTATAACTTCCTTTGGAGATAACATTGAAGGTCTAAATTTGAGGTCCTCTGTGAATGTGAGGCCCAGGCCAAATTGCCCTCTTGCTGCCTCCTCCCCACCATGATAGGCCCTTCCTTAAATTGCCTCTTTTTGAAAAGAGCTCCTGTAATGCTCCTAATGTGGTAACAATCGCTACAGCAATTAGTTATGTCCAAAATGGTGGAATGGAAAACAGAATGCAACGAAGGTTAGTGAGGCATGTTCTGTGAACCTTTTCCTCATGGATTAGTTGTGTCTTCCAATAAACCATAAACCATAAAGTCACCATTCATTCCTATTTATATTATCTTACAATGTCCTGAGTACAAGGGCAGCTTGGAACCATTTCATCAGATACTTTCACCCTTCTGCAGTGGCCTAGGAATCTCCTAGACAGTCCACCCCTGCTGTAATGGTTGGTTTTGTTTTGTTTTTTATCATTTCTAGATGGCAATAATCATTCTGGCTATTCTCCTCTTCCTGGCAGCCATGTTGTTCATCCTCATGAACTGGTACTACAGAACAGCGTGAGTAACCTTAAGTGCCTGGACACTGTAGGGCAAAATGAGCATGCCTCATGATCTCAGATACAGTTTTGGACATGAGAGGTCAAAAATAAATATCTTAATACCTTGAATGTGGAAAACAAATGTTCTGATTCAGAGATCCACAAAGTATTAATGGCTTATGAATTTTCCCCACTCACCACACTGAACAGACAAATAGTGAGAATGTGAAAATTGATGTATATCCTGAGTTTCCCTCAAACACAACTTTGGGCTGGCCAGAATGTCTCATTTGTAGTGATATAAGGAGATTGGCCACCCTTAAATTGTGCTTCCATCTTCTGCTGAAAGTAAAACCCTAATCTATTTCATGGGAGGGACCGGGTGTTGGCTGAGGTAGAGGCAGGCTGGGATCTGCGTGAGCGGCTGCACTCACGGTTCTCTGATCGAGGCCAAAAGATAGGCTGCCATATTGGGGAAGGTGTGTGTGTGTGGGGGGGTACACAGTGGGTCATTGCTAATGCCATGGGAACAAATCTATTACCTGAGGATGGACATCTCTTTGTAAATTGAAACCAGAATCTGCAATGTTATAATTGTATGTTTGAGCATAGCTCGAGGAACTCAAATGAATAGACTTGGAAAAATCACAGCATGCTAGTATATCTGATTATTTGAGTTAATTATTTTGGAGTCTGGAAAACACATTAAGGAGAGAAAAATTAAATTAAAGATGGAAAAGCAAAAGATTGCCTTGACAGTGAAGGTTTTCAACCAATCATTTTTCCATTTTCTGATAGGAAATGAAGCAGTGTGAGAGATGTTTTTAAGGGACTAAAATCCACATGAAACAGTCTTCACCATAAAATTATTTTCTTTCCCCCTTCAAATGTTTACTTGTTTTAAACTGTTTTGCAGACACAAAAGGAAATTGAAAGCAATTGTGGCTGGTTCCACAGGTGAGAGATACTGAGGGTTGTTCTTTCTGATCCACGAAAAATGAATACTAATGAATGTGGGGAGATACCTGAAGCACTGGTTGACAAAAGCCAACAGACTGGTACATACCCTAAACTGTGACACTTTCCATGGCATGCAGATGTGATGGGGGAAAGCCCTAACCAGCTATGGTTTTTTAATGTGTCCGGTTGCTTTAAAGTAATTGGAGCAGGAACAATTTTAAAAAAGCAACCCAAAATTCAGTTGATGTAAATCCACACGTTGCATTCCACAGGTAACCGAGGCTTCATGGACATCATGGATATGCCAAACACAAATAAATATTCCTTCGATGGGTGAGTCTTCAACAATTTTGGAAGCTTTTAAAATGAGTATCCCTGTAGAAGTTAGAAGGGACAAGTGGAAACTACGCACTACTCTCAGGGGAGATCCCTCCCTCCATTGCTGCTGATTCCCCACATGGCTCACTGGGGAAAGGGGCAGGAGACTCACAGGGTAAATCCCATATCCCTCCAGTGCCAAGCCTTGCACAGCTACAAATAAAGCCTGGCATCCTATACCACTGCTGCTGATCCCAGCACAGCAGCACGCATCCTCTACCACCACAGCCAGGCCCAGCACAGCTGCCGGTGTCCTCCACTGCCAGGCCCGGCCCAGCTACCAGTGTCCTCCTTCTCTGTGGCTGGGCCAGTGTAGCTGCCAGCATCCTCCTCCACTGCTGCTGGGCTGAAATGGCTGCCAGCATCCTTTGACATTGATGCCAGGCCTAGAGTGGCTGCTGAGTTCTGCTACCAGGCCATGCTGGAATGGCTCTGTTCTCATATGGTAAAAATGTATTTGGGGGAAGAGGCTTTACGTTCCCCTATATATTTTTATTTCAGCTTCTTCTGCAAACCTGGATGGATGGCTCCAGAGCAAACTAATTTATGCAGTAGCCAAATCACTCGCTCACAATTTTAATGCCAGTGGCTCACAAAGTAGAATTTCTGCTCACAAAACTCCACGGCTTAGAGGGAACATTGGTTAGGAGTCAGACTACGATCTGGAAGACTCAGGTTGCACAGACAATGTTCCTCTGTTTGAGGAGAGTTAACCTCCCCCCCTCATCCAGGGTTTTTGTTTTGTTTTCACAGTTTTCTACAAACTTGGGGGGATTGCGTCCCAGGTCTGCAGCAAAAACCCTCTCTGAGCCTGGCCCCATTATCTAGGTCTATTGATCCTCATGGGGACTAGGTCTGCTCTCTCAGCCTCACTTACCTTATAGAGTGCTTGTCAGGATCAAACAGAGGAGAACGATGTGTACAGCCCCGAGGGCGGGTTTAAAATGTAAATAAAACCACATTGCATGACAACATTGTGCCATCACCGGAGAATGATTCAGTAGGAAGAGGCGTCCCCTTATCTTTCTGGTCCACGCTGGGTCATTATCAGGATCGCTCAGCTGTGCGAGAGCGGCTTCTCCCAGCGCCTGCCTGCCTGCAACATTTGCTTCTTGTTTTAGAGGGAAACTAATCGGGAACAGTAAGTCCAGAGTCGTTTTTCTTTGTTGGGATACAAGGGTGGAACGTTGGTGGGGACTGCTATTGAAATCCCCATGCTGGTACCAACTCCAAAGGGCTACACTGTGAAAACCAAGAAGGGCACTCCTGCATCACAGAGGAAACGGCCTCCTGTTGGGTCCGTCCATCAGTCCGTCTATCCATGTTTTGTCTGTTCTGATTGGCTGTGGCTCTCTGAAGCCGTTTCCAGCCCTGCTAATGGGGCATGCCAGGGTTTTTAGCTGGAAACACTGAGGCTTGTGCAATGTTGCACTCCTACTTGATCCGAGCTGCCAGTTTAGTGTAGTGGTTAAGTGTTCTAAGTGGTTAAGGGACTCTAATCTGGGAGAACCGGATTTGATTCCCCACTCCTCCACTTGCACCTGCTGGATGACCTTGGGCAAGCCATAGTTCTGGCACAGCTGTTCTTGAAAAAGAGCAGTTTGTGTCAGAGCTCTCTCAGGCCCACCTACCTCACAGGGTGTCTGTTGTGGGGAGGGGAAGGGAGAGGAGTTTGTAAACCACTCTGAGACTCCTTTGGGTAGTGAAGGGCAGGGTATAAATCCAGTCTCCTCTTCTCCTCTTCAGTATGTTGGAACGTTGCAAAGTACCCCAAGATCACCACACAGTGATCTCTTATTGATGCAGTTATGGCTGCTGCCCATCTATTCCTTCATTAGTGAGATTGTCTAAGACTGTCAACTGACGGGGCCTTCCTGGGAATGGGTCATTAGGAGAGGGTATCTTGGCAGCTGGGGATATCTCTTCAAATTAGAGATCAGTCAAAGGATGAGATGGTTAGACAGTGTTATCGATGCAATGAACATGAAACTGAGTAAACTCCAGAGTACGACGGAAGACAGGAGGGCCTGGTGTGATGTGGTCCATGGGGTCGCGAAGAGTCGGACTCGGCTGAGTGACTGAACAACAACGACAAAAGAACATGGAGAACATAGCATAGCTCCAGCCAGAAAGGGGGGTGGGATTTTGTGCATATATCTGTCTGATAAACAGCAGAGGCATAGACCGAGAACCGAGAGTTTCTAGCTTTAGCTGGCTAAAACCTGGAGGTACAAATTAGGGATCATGCAGAATTTAGGGGATCGTCAATGATTGCAAACAACAGTCACTGTGCATTTGGGGTGGTCCTGCAAGCGTCTCTGAAAATGTAAGTGTTGCAAAAAGGAACATACAGTGCTGCCTTATATTAAATCAGACCATTGGCCTATCAAGGTCGGTACTCTGGCCGGCAGTGGCTCTCCTCACGAATTAGCTGAGCCTTTTGAGATATGAAAATGTCTGTGTGCAAAGCAGACGCTCTGCTACTGAGCCACGGCCCCTGTCTAAAGGGACACCCATCCATTCTCTTGTGCAAGACTGCCAGAGGATAGCAACTTCATCCCTAAGGTGCATGTCTTTAATTTAGCCTAGGGTGGGATCTGTACTATAGGGTACAGTCAAGGTCTTCAATAGGCTGATACTCTCTTTTGAAATAAATCCAACGGTTACTACATCGGTCCTTTAGAATGAGAAACAAATGAAACGGTCATAGAATATTTTTTAAAATTTCATTTCTACCCTACCTTCCTCTCCTCCGTTCTATCCTTACAACAACCCTGTGAGGTAGGTTGGGCTGAGAGTATGTGACTGCCATGAATGCTTGCTGGGTGACCTTGGGCCAGTCACACACTCTCAGCCTAACCTGATCTGCCAGAATAGTTGTGAGGGGAAAACGGAGAAGAAGGGAACAATGTAAGCTGCTTTGGGTCCCCATTGGGGAGAAATGCAGGGTATAAATAAAAGTAAGTAATGATGATTGGCCCAGGGTCACCCAGCAAGCTTCCATGGGAGAGCAAAGATTAGAACCTGGGTCTCCTATATCCTAGTCCAACACTTTAACTAATACACCAAATTGGGTCTCAGTCATGTATAGCTGTGGATTACATCTTTATTTTACAATTCCTCCAAAGAGCTCAGGAGTCTGCTCAGGTGTTGGGTTTTTTTTACCTCCAATTTATCCTCACAACAACCATTTGATGTGGTTTAGGCTGAAGGACAGTGATCGGCCCAAGGTCATCCAATGAGCACTAGACCAGTCATCTGACTTGGTATATGGTGACTTTGTGGCTGATTCCGCACTAGAGCTGCCTCGATGTGGCGCCGCCGTTTGCCCCGATACTATTGGTTAATTTCACACCCGAAGCCGCGGGGCTGCATTTTGATTTCGCCCGATTTCCCCCGCAGTTTCATGATCCTGCTTTTTGAGGATCACGAAACTGCAGAGGAAATCGGGCAAAGCCGCGGGTCAAATGCAGCCCTGCGGCTTCGGGTGTGAATTTGACCAATAGTATTGGGGCAAACAGCGGCGCAACATCGAGGCAGCTCTAGTGCGAAATCAGCCAGAGACAGAGGAAGTCCTAGATCAGTGATTCGCAAAGGAAATGTTGCAACTCACTAATAAGTGCTAGGGACGTTGTGGGGAGTCACCAGATTGTTAGAAGGATGGAAATAATGTAAAACAAGATGTTGAAGGCAAGAGACTGACGTAATTTTTGATTTAAGATAGGGGAACCTTTAAATACCAGTTCTGCAAGGATAGGTAATTTTTATCAGGATGAAGAAGCCTTGTGAAGAGGGAAGAAAAGCAGATTATTTACTCTCTGTTTTTGCTCTCTGAAAGACAAAAGAACTAGAGAAATGCTGGAAAAGAAATTAGTTACTCCTCCTTTGGTCACAGTTCTGGAGAGCTGAACATTCTGTGCTTGGAATTGTAGCTAAAGAGTAAAGAGTTTTCAGGGCAGCTCCTTTTTTTTCTCCACTGTCAGAGAAGAGTATGCTTATGCCTTTATTTGCATGTAGCAGGCCCTCAGATTCTAATTGAGCTCAACTATATCCCATGCTGTAGGTCTAAGCCCCTCTTGAGTTGTCCTCCTGCCTGCTAGACTACTTCTTCGCGGTCTCTGTACTGATGGAAATTCTAACCTGCGTTGAGTACTGTTCAGAACCTTCAAGGACTAAACTAGAAAGAGATTTTAGCTCTTGCCCTGCACACTCTGGAGGTATGGGCAAAACCACAGATATCCAGAGTGGCTGGGGAAGCACTTCCCATTCAGTTCTTCTTTGGCCACTGCAGCAGAGACATCAGAAAGAAAATCTTTCTAGAGTTTGATGAGCTGGGTCATACTTACTTTAAAAAAATTATTTAGATCTTTATCTTTATTACTTCTTGTTCTCTTCCCTTTTGCTCAGTTCTGTGTGTATGATGCAATGGATAAAAAGTGTCACTTATACGGGGGCAAATTGCCATCAGACAGCTGCTATGTTTTTTCTCCTCATTCCTGACAGGCACTGTATATGAAGAGTTCTCTGGCATGCAGACATGTCATGACATGACATGACATGACATTACATAACAAGAGCTCTGCTGGATCAGACGAGTTGTCAATCTAGTCCAGAGAGCTCTGCCGGATCAGACGAGTTGTCAATCTAGTCCAGCATCCTGTTTCAGACAGAGGCCAAGGAGTTGCCCCAGAAGGCCAATAAATATGGCATAGAGGCCAGGGCCTTTCCTGATGGTGCCTTCTAGCACAACTTTTCAGAGGATTACTGCTTTTATATATGGAGGTTCCATTTAGTCACCATGGTTAATAGCGATTGATGGTCCTATGATCCATGAATCTGTAATTCCATTTTAAAACCATCTATGATAGTGGCCCTTACTACGTACACTGGCAGTGAACTCTACAATTCAATTATTTATTAAAGAAGTACTTCTTTTTGTCTGTCCTGAATTTATTATCGATGAGGTTCATTGGATGCTCCCGAGTTCTAGTACTATGAAACAAGAAGAAAAAGTTATCTCTATCCATTTTCTCTGATCCATGCATAATTTTATAATCCTCTGTTTTGTCCCCCCTTAGTAGTCTTTTGCTAAACTGAAAAGGCCCAGACTGGTTCACCTCTCCTTGTGGGAAAGGTGCTTTGACCCCTTAATCATCTTGGTTGCTGTCTTCTACACTTTCTCCAGTTCTGCAATACTTTTTTTGAGATGCAGCAACCAGAATTATGTACAGTATTCTAAATGAGGCTATGCCATGGATCTATACAAGGACATTACAATATTGACTGTTTTATTTTCAGTCATGTCTACTAGATGATTGTATCCAAATGCTTGTTAACCTTTCTGTATAAGTCCAAAAGGTCAGTGAGTTAGGACTTCTCCTTGCCTAGTTGATTTTCCCTCAGCAGACTTAGTTCGCCTATATAATTAATAATTCAATATTTAATTATAGTTTCTACTAATTTACCTGGAGAAGATGCTATGCCAACAGGCTTGTAGGTCCCTGATCCTCTCTGCATCCTTTTTAAAAATGGGTGTGATAGAACAAGTTTTTCAGGAAGAACCCAAGACTGTCTGTTACAGTGGATGTAATAAAGGATATAGTCTCTTTTCACCATGTCTTAACAAAAGGATAGCATCCTTCACCTCACCCTGAGCACACAAATCGCTACCCCAGGAAGTTAATGCAATTCTACTTGAACTGTTGCTATATTCTTGGCTTTCTCCAATGGACTGCTGAATCCAGATTTGTGGGAAACCCTCCAAATTCATCAAGCTCTATATGTTCACGTGAAGATGGTTGCAGCATTTGGCAGAGGGGTTCTAAACGTCCTGTTCATGTGACAACATCTATTCCCACCTTCAGATTGCTTGCTTATCTTTCCCATCAGTGTGATGCACAGGGACCATAAAAAAGAAAAATTGTTTTCTCGTAACTAGTGTTATTTTTGCAGTCGCACGTCCTGCCTACCTTCCACACAACAGGTGTTTCTATTTTTTTTTCGTGCTGTGATGTTTGGAAGAACTGAGCAGAAAATGCTACCACTGCTCACATTGGACCTGAGTGAATCAGGCTATCTCTATGGTGAGTGTGGCAGTCGTTAAAACCTCACTCTAGTTTAGTTCCCATTAGTGTGACTGCCTGGATGACCACCTGAAGACTACCAGTTACAGTTTTTCCATCTCCTTTGGACCGACACAACTCTGCCAGGCTTTTTTCTTTAAAAAAAATCTGTCTCCCCTAATCTATTTTTTTGTTTTTTCCTCTCGTTCTGTCAAACCCCCTCATTTTCTATCCCTGCACCTCTTTGTTTACTTTATTATATGCTTTGTGTTGAGCAGACAAAGAAGTGGAAAAGTCATGGTTGGTGCTAGATTGTGGCCTTTGTGTTTAATCAAGCTTCTTCTGTCCGTTCTCTTACTTCCTGAAACCAAGAAGTCACCGATCGACTTCCACCTGTCCTCTGGCTGACAGTTAATTACACAAATCTGTCTCCCTGTCCCAGGATGTTTGTTTTTTCATTGCTGTTATTGTAATAATCTGTTCTTCTCTTACATCTGGCTGGGGGGCGGGGGACGACACAACTTGGTAATCCCCAGGCCCAGATTTGCTTAACTTCTGTGACTGAGTTACATCAGACCCTTTCTGTGAAATTTTGTGCAGAAACTACCACATTTTACTGTTTAGCTTTTAACGAGCTATTGTTCAAAAATAATCTAAAAAGGCTAATGAATTGCATTATATTCTTTTTCCAATTCAGCTGTTAAGCTCTATGTGGGAGAAATACATCAATGAAGACAGTAGGGTCACCAGTTAAAACATCAGGCTTCTACCCTAACCCAAAGAACAAATACTATTAACTTAAAGAAAGCCATGCATTTCCCCCAGGAATAATCCAAGGCATGTAGCCCAGTCCAGTGATTTGTTCTGAGAGTGTGAGCTTAAATCTGTGTGTGGACTCCTCCAGCCTGTGATGACTTTTCCATTCATTTCAGCAAAGAAAGTGAACCCATGTGCACTTTCTTTTGCACATAGAGATCTGCTATTTTAATTGGAAAGAATTAAGCAGCTTAAATTCATAAATGTTCACATTTGAGTGGACAGGAATATCTTGATGAAGCGGCTTGATTATAGGTATAACCCAGGTATTTTAAAATGTAAGAAGTGCCCTTCATGCTGGTTCCAAATCAGCTGAGGAAGGAAATGGGCCTGCCGCTGAAAACAATGTAATCAGTTAGGCTGGAGAAGGGAAGGACTCCAATGCAATGTGTTGATTTGAATTTGGATCTCTTCCAGTTGATCCAGAATGATCTAGATGATGATGATGACCAAAGGAGTCCAAGCCAGGGGAGCCTTCGGTTCCGGCACAAGCAGCCCATTGAGCTCAAGGGACCTGATGGCATCCACGTGGTCCATGGCAGCACAGGAACCCTGCTAACCTCTGACCTCAACAGCCTTCCTGAAGATGACCAGAAAGTGCTGGGCCGCTCTTTGGAGACGCTGACTGCAGATGGTGGGGCATACTGTGACAGAAATGCCCGCACTGAGTCTGCCAAATCCACTCCTATGCACAAGATGAGGGAAGTGATCATGGAGAGTCCCCTGGAGATCACAGAGTTATGACTAGAAGTGGCATCGCTGGTGTAGCACTCCAAGGAAGCCTGGGCCCGCACAGACCGTTGCCACCAGAGGGAAAACACTGACCAAGGGACAAGTATGGCAGAGAAAAAAATCCAGGGCTGACGTAGTCCGTGCCAGGCCATCACCTGTTTCAGAATAAATATGACCAAGATAGCCAACTGTTTTGTTATGGCAGCCTTGGGGAGCCTAGCCCCAGGGGGAAGGTTCTCAGGACTGTTTGCTTTTACCAGGCACTCACATCATTATGCGCATAACTTTTTAAAATTTTATTTTTAAATATAAAGTGTTAAAAACAGATGTGTGGGAAGTCCTAAGGAATAAGCCTAAGGCTAGAATTGCAATAACCATGGTGCCATGTCCCATTAGTGGAGCTGACCTGGCTCCCTGTCATGTCCTGGATTACATCATTATGTTTTCCACCAGCCATTGACCAGGAACTACCAGGGTGGAGGAGATCGATGGCTGCCAACCTAATGTAGCTAAGATGACCCTGGGACTATCAACTCACACAGGTGGACTGTGTGATTAACTTCAGGAAACCCCATAAATGTTTGGCATTAATCTGTGTTGTCTCTTTTCCAGAAGGGGGGGGGGAAACCCTGAAGCCATTTCTCCATTTTGCTGGCTTACCAAAACACTGCAGCATCAAAAGAAACAGAGTGACATTAATTCGGGTTCTGAACGTAGAGTGTTTGTGTGTAATTTTTAAAAATTATTTTGGTTTCAAACAGTAAATTGTTGAGAGTTTTTGGAATGGTCTGTCAAAAGAACCAGAAATACACTATTCATGAATTTGGTTAATCTGTGTTTTATCTTTTCTACCCTAATTATCACACAGATGTTCTTGATTTAAGCATAATTTCCAGTGCAGTCCCCTGTGTGAGCAGAGAAATCTGAGCAATAGCTGTGCTCATTAGTATACCAGCATGTACATTCCCTTTCCATAAAACCATCAGGGGAGTTATAAGTGTGCCTTATTTAGGGCTGTGATAGAGAACTGCCAAAAGTACAAGCTGGGTTTCAAAGAGGTAGAGGAATGAGAGATCAAACTGCCAACATTTGGAGGAGACCACCTCACATGTCTCCTGAGAATAAGGTTCAAGAAGCAACAGTTAGAACTGATTGGTTTAGAATAGGAAAAGGAGTACGGCAAGGATGTATATTGTCACCCTGCTTATTTAATTTATATGCAGAGTTCATCATGCCAAATGCTAGCCTGGATGAATCACAAGCCGGAAGAGATTGCCAGGGAAAATATCAACAACCTCAGATATGCAGACGATACCACTCTATTGGCAGAAAGTGAAGAGGACCTCAAGAGCCTCTTGCTGAGAGTGAAAGAGGAGAGTGCAAAATGCTGAGGGTGAAAGAGGAGAGCGGAAAATTTTGCATGATGAATTCTGCATATAAATTAAATAAGCAGGGTGACAATATACATCCTTCCCGTTGGCTTGAGACTCAACATCAAAAAAACTAAGAATATGGCATCCGGCCCCGTCACGTCTTGGCAAATAGAAGGGGAAGTCATGGAAGCAGTGACAGAATTCACGTTCCTGAGATCCAAGATTACTGCAAATGGTGGCTGCAGCCATGAAATTAAAAGATGACTGCTCCTTGGGAAGAAAGCTATGGCAAACCTAGACAGCATAATAAAAAGTAGAGACATCACTCTGCCAACAAAAGTCCACATAGTCAAAGTGATGGTATTCCCAGTAGTAATGTATGGCTGTGAGAGCTGGATCATAAGGAAGGCCAAGCGTCGAAGAATAGATGCTTTCGAATTATGGTGCTGGAGAAGACTCTTGAGAGTCCCTTGGGCTGCAAGGAGATCAAATCAGTCAATCCTAAAGGAAATCAAACCTGACTGTTCCCTGGAAGGCCAGATACTGAAGCTGAAGCTCAAATACTTTGGCCACCTAATGAGAAGGGAGCACTCACTGGAGAAGACCCTGATGCTGGGAAAGATTGAAGGTAACAGAAGAAGGGGACGACAAAGCATGAGATGGTTAGACAGTGTTACCAATGCAACGAACATGAAATTGAGCAAATTCTGGAGGACAGCAAAAGACAGGAGGGCCTGGCATGATGTGGTCTGTGGGATCTCAAAGAGTCGGACTTGAATGTATGACTGAACAACAAAAGTATATGATGCACAAAACAGAGATCAAAAGCCTGTAGTTTGAATAAATTATGCAAATTAAGCAACCTTTACATCATTCTGCCTTCATGATTTAGGTTTTCAAAGGATCTGCCAAGCTAGGAAGGTGGCAAAAGAATGTAGCAAAGTAGAAGCATGACGTGAAGATTCAGATGCCAAGTAAAACTGCTAGAGGTAAGGAGAAATGGACATGAAAAACGGACCATGAACTGTATAGGGTATTGAAGTCTTTAGGTACAAATTTGAGGGTAGTTAATTGAATCCCATTGATTTTAATGGGGATGGAATGTGTGTAACTTTCTCTAAATTGTGTCTTCACTTCCTGACTAATCAATGAAAGCCTCTCTTCTGACTTTCAGATTTTCACTGCCATGTTTCAGAAACGTTCCCTGCAACCCTGGGGTGGAAACTTGCTTTTAAAAACTAAAAACATTATATTCTCTAGATGCCAAATTCCATGCTGTCACTTTATCCACAGTCCACAAAGATCTTGAAGTCTTGCTTGTCCCTAGTAAAATAGATAACGTGTTTGTTGCCCAGTTCTCAGTTTTGTGATCTTAAACCAAAGTCATAGCTATGCTTTAAGCACTCATTATTCTCACTTTAACCACACATTTGCTGCAGTTCAGCCATCCTTTAGCTATAGTTCAGTCACACTTTAGCTTTGTATCAGGCAAACATTGGCCGAGTTCAGACTGGCAGTTTGCCCCGATATAGGCACGTTTCAGAAACGTTCCACAACCAGATTAAAGGAGCCGTTCACACAGGCACATCTGTCCAGCGTTCCCCCAGCCGTACGCAAACCGTCTCGTAACGTTTCCCTCCCGAGTTTAAAAGATACCAGGTGAAAGTGGTATCCAACCCTTGAAAGTGCGATTATCCCGCACCAACAAAGTGTGAATGCCGAAAGCCGCATTTTTCTTGTGCGCTTAAGTGTATATCTCCATATTACCAAAAGAAAGCCATGCCTTACAGCCGTGCCTCCAGGCCAACAGTGTGAATGCTCCCTTGAGCCTCCTCCCGCATCAGTCACTGCAGTGTGAATGATGTTTTTGCCACGACTCCCTCCCGCTTCAAACTGCCAGTCTGAATTCGGCCATTGGTGACACTGTAACAACATGTTAGATGCCGCTGAACCACACCTTAGCCATGTATTAACTACATGTCACCCATGTTTCAGCCACACATTAACAATGCTTTTGCTGCGGCCCAGTCACACTTCAATAATGCATTTATTGCATGGTTAATGCATAGCAGGAGTGGTTAACACCACCACTGCAATTCACCCACACTTTACCCACGCTTCAGCTAAGCATTGTTCGCACACCATCCACATTTTAGCCATGTATTAGCTGCACATTAAACACACTCTAATCATACATTAGCTGTACACTAAGCATGCATTAGCTACATTGAACAGTACCTGCTTCACCCAAAGAACTGAACTGAACTGAAGAACCTGCTTCACCCATGCATCAGCTGTACATTAGCCACATCAAACGATGCACTAGCCACACTTCAGCTGTTCAGCATTTTAACAGCACTCTAACCATGCATTGATCAACCATGTGCTAGCCACATGTTAGCCACAGTCCAACCACACTACATAGCCTGACCATATTTATTCCTTGCCTGTGGTTCAGCCATGCATAAGCCACTTTAGTCATGCTTCAGACACAAATTAGCAACACTTTGGCCAAGCATTAGTCACAATGTAACTATGCTTTAGCTGCCATACCAGCCATACACTAAACACACATTAGCCATGCTTTAGCCACATATTAGCCACACTTTACCCATAGTTCAACCACACAGTAACTGAATATCAGCCACATGCTAGCTAGTTTCTGAGGTTGTGGGCACATTTGGACCTTTGAGAAAAGGAAGTGGGCACTACCACCAAATAGCTGTCATAAGGTGGAGCCAATCACCCAACGACCACCTCAGTTGGACAGCTCACTACAAAATGTTGGGAGGTTCCTAGCCAAGTGTCCTCCAAGATGGCTGCTTTCAAATGGAGCTTCCTGCATATCTACAAGAAGAAGTTGGGGGGAAGCCAGAAGTGCTCTTTTGCTTTGGGAAAGAGATGCTGTTTCCAAAGAAAGGGGAGGATTTGCTGCCTGTACGGCCACCAGAGAGGGTCCAAGCCCAGCAGCGTCAGGAAGTTCATATGGCTTCTACCCAACTGGCAAGAAGACACCAAAGCTCCATGTTTATTTGTTTTCCTATTCCACGCAAGACTTTTTGATTCTGTCCCCAAGGCTGAGGAAACAAGTGGGCACCCAGAAACACATTGGTGGACACTACCACACCCCTGGGCTGGGAAATCACTGTGTTAGACAAAGAGACAATATATGCCTTTTACATGTATATAAGACCATAATATAAAGTTTAACAAAAACAAGTATGGATGAGAAGTCCATAATAATATTTTAATGTTTCATAATTACAGGAGCTTCGGTAAAACGCTCGAGATAATGTTCTTATAGGAACAACCACATATGTTCTCACCAGGTATATTGTGGGGGAGATTGCAAGTTTTTACATCAGACAAACCCTAAATAGTGATGCCCCCATATATGCAATGGAGCCCAGCCTCAATAAAGAACAGGCTTTTGTATCTTAATAGCTGTGCAAAAGAGGGAATGTCTATCATGTTGACAAGCTATGCCTGCTAAACTCTCTCTTCTGTACAACTAATAGATGCATATGTTCAGTGCTTACCAACAAATGTATTATCTTGTAGTGGTCTATTTTAGAGGCTTGTCTATGTTTTCGCATGTCTCTGAAACTTCCAGTTGTAACAAAACATGCCAGTGGCTTTGGAATTTATCTTTAAGCCGGTGCCAATATGTCCTACACAAAATATTAATCCTAGCTTAATAGTTGCTGGTTGGTCTCCTGGACATTTGCCTCTTTTTCTACCTTCCAGAAAAACCCAAAATGAAACACCTGCTCTTTTGTTTGCTGCTCAACGTATTGCAAAAGGACCAGTAATTGCACATTACCTTGGTGGTTGTCTTTTAAATACACATCACTTTCAGAAGCCTGAACAGACCCATTACAACAGGAAAAAGCTATGTATTTGTGTCCTAATTAATCTAAAACCTAGGCTAGCTAATCACTTCAGTCAGGCTAGGAGATCTAGGAGAACACACTTCTGTGCATACATACAATGTAAATTCATCCTCATATGGTTTGGTTCACCATGTATACTGGACCAGCTGGACACATTTTTTGATACAGCAGGAAATGGGCATTTCTATTTGGGGGTGGCTAGAGTTGCCACCAATATGTGTTTGCATCTCAAAAGAGGAAAAGGCTGAAGCCATGTTTAAGCTCTCCAAATGGAAATAGTGAGTCTCCCCCCCCCCCCAACACACTTCACATGTACAATCAGGCAGCAACAATTCAGTCTTTCCGGGCAACTCTGCAGAATATTTTTCTACACAGGGAACATCATTATATTAATGTTAAAGTGTTAAAGTTTCTGTTATGATCTCAAAAGTACCAAAAGTAGGCCATCCAGATATGAATTTCTACAAACTCCCAAAGTATGCAGAAAAATATTTTTTAAGTTAATGAAAACAAAAATTTTAAAACCCCATGCTTGAATATGAATATTCAGGAAACACAGAATATTAAAAGCAATTGAGAATCAGTTAAAGGGGGGAAAACTGGGAAGATAAACTAGGAGATGGGGGGGTCTAAATGATTCTTATCTCTCTTGATTTCTTGTGGGCCCACAGTGTGCTACTATAATTTAAAAAAATAATAATAATAAAAAGGCAATTTGTTCACATTGAAATATGTCCTGTGGAAATGATCACACACACACACACACCGAATGCGTGCCACACTCCCAGCTTCTCTTCCCCACCCTGGTCCCTTCCTCATCATAGCTCAAAGACAAAACTAAATGTATGGTGTTTTACAGCATCTTTAACAAAGAATACCAAAGAGACTTTCCCCCCCTTGAGCAGTGTAAACACCCAGTGGGGAGCCACACTACAAATGAAACCAAAGGTAGAAAAGAAATAAGGGGTTCTTCCAAGCTTTAGATATCTCTCTTTTCCACCAAATTCCAGGACTTCAAAATTAAAGCAGTGTTCACCCACTGAACAGGTTTCCTCTAGTTCCATACATGACGTCTGCAGTATTCAGTGGCCTGTATGAAAAATAAGAGGATTCATGAAGGAAAGGTCATTCCCACTATTCATTTTACAGCTGATGACACAAAATATGCCAAGGGGGCCTGAAGCATCAAGGTGCATCAGAATTTCAGGGGTTGGCTGGTTGTCAGCCAATTAGTGAGATTTATGATCCATTAATTTTCTTTTTTAATTAAACATTTAGTTTAAATTACACGTGCTCTAATCCAATGAAAGAGTGGGGTTACCAGGTCCCACCTGTTGTCAGCAGGGGGCTCCAGCGTGCTGTCCTGGATATCCTGGAGTGTGTGTGCACTGTAATGACGTCACCCGGAGGTGACATCATCACGCTGGGCACATTGGGGGGGGGGACACTCTAGCATTTGAGAAAAACCTCTATTGTTACCATAGAGTTTTGTTCTCAGATGCTAGAGTGTGCCCCCCACCCACCCGCTGCATCGTGCTCCGCATGGTGACGTCATTGTGTGGACAGGGCTGAGCAGCAGTGGACTGGGGGCAGATTTGGCCCCCCAAAAGATGGTAAACACCATCGGGGGGATGGCAACCCTATGAGAGAGATTTGCATAGCAAAGCAGACTTTCATATACACAGCTCCAAACAGGTGTCTGGACATGCCTTATAGTTCTTGCCCAGGCCCTATTGAACTTAGATGTGTCTTATGCGGAGGCCTGTCATAACTATGGGACTACTGAATGTGTGCAACTAAAGCTGCCTCAAGCCCCATCTCATTTGACAGTAACGGGACAAATTGTTCCAGAGCAATGTAATGATGTGGCTCAACTGGGTGTTATGGACACATGATTTTAAGCATACTTAATATCCATCCATTGTTCCATATCATTCTAATGGGCACATGAATCATCTTTTTCAATGCAGGCAACTGTTCCAGATGTACAAAGGAATTCTTTGAAATGAATAGGAAAGCGATTTGTTTGGGGGAGCTCAGTGTACTAATTAGAGCACTTGTACTTCAAAGACACTGATGGATCAATGTGGCTTATTCAAGCCCTAGAAAGGTAAAAGAAAGTTTCAAAGAATGCCCTGAGCTCAGCACCCTTGTTTTACAAAGGAATCCTGTTTACAAATCCACAAGAATAGGTAATTTGATATTTGATTTTGCCCTCAGTTTCTTTCTGCCTTGGCTTTGTTTCATTGATATCATCCAATCAATATTCAATCCATTCAATCTTCAATATTTTTTTGCCTCTTCTATTTTATTACATTGTACATTCAATACTCTCCTTTAATTCCTTGGGAAATCTCTGCCTGCTTACCTGGCACTGAGCTGCAGTCTCTGTGTTCATGCACCAGTAGGCAGGGCCCCGAGCACAGGCTTCCATGCCCAAAAGATGGGATTCAGGACACACTCCTATTTTCTGTGTGGTGAAAGAGCAGATGACATTAAAAATGGCAATTATACCTATTCAATTATGGACTTTCTAACCTTTCTGCTTCAATTTCATATTGTTTTCCACTTCCCTAAGTAGTAGAAAGTTCCAGAACACCCCAAACCATTTTCTGTTTCTTGGGCTACATTCAAGACTGCCACCCTTCCACATGGCTGTTGTCAAACACTCAGACTGGTAAACCAGGTTTACTGTCTCCCCCTAATCCTGCAGGTGGGTGAGTATAACCACACCTTTTAAACAGCTGTGTGATCTGACAATCTCTCATCCATTATCTAGCCCATACCAAAGGCAGATAGCACATTATAACATCATAGATCTGTTTTTCATGCGTGTGTGTTCAATATAACAGATGAAGAGAGGTAGTTTGCCACTGCCTGCCTCTTTGTCGCAACCTGACCTTCCTTGGTGGTCTCCCATCCAAGTACTAACCAGGACTGATCCAGCTTAGCTTCCGAGATCTGATGAGACTGGGCTAGTAAAGCAGCTTTACCACAGTGCTGAAATTACCTGTCCACAGGCTCGTACTTCTCTTACGCCAAATGCAGATTTCTTGTTTTAGTGTCAAAGACTCACAAGCAGAAAAATCAGCCTAATATTTTCCTCCACACGCTTACATTTTGATGATGGCAAAGAAATATGGTTGTTTTATTTCCTTAAGCTTTGCAGAACAACAAAATCTACCCATCGCTTCACAGGGTTTGGAAGTCTTGCTAAATTTTTTCTGCTGAATGTAAGTCACCTTTATGACATCACTTACAGTGCATACAAAGGTTGGTTCCATGACCTGAATCAGAAGGCGGACAGCAGCTGGTTCATATTGCTCCACAAGTTGATCACACTGCAACAAAGCAAAAGAAGTGAGGTTCAGTCCTTTGCTACACGCAGCATTCTGAGAGAAACTGAGTCTATTGTTTGAACAGGAGGTCCCCCAATCTCATTGAGCCTATGGACATTTTTGGAATTTTGAAACAGGGATAAGAAGAGGAGATTGGATTTATACCCCTTCACTATCCAAAGGAGTCTCAGAGCTGCTTACAATACCTTTCACTTCTTCTCCGCACAACAAGACACCCTGTGAGGTAGGTAGGGCTGAAAGGGCTCTTTTGAGGAGTGCCCTTGAGAGAACAGCTCTGAAAGAACTTATGACTGACCGAAGGTCACACCAGCAGCTGCATGTGGAGGAGTGGGGAATCAAACCCAGTCCTCCCAGACTACAGTCTGTGTTCTTAACCACTACACCAAACTGGCTCTCAGGTAGGGGGCACCACCACAGAAGTTCTCCCGTGGGTGCTGGGGCCAAGCACAAAATGTTGGGAAACTCCAAGCCAAGTGTTCTCCTGTGATGGAGACGGGCATTCCAAATGGTTGTTCCCTGCAGACACAAAGGTGATGCCTCCTGAGCTGTTCTGAAGCACCTCTGCTCCAGTGAGGTGGAGGAAAGCCAGGGCTGGCTCACTGCTTTGGGGGAGAAAGAAGTGGGTGCCAAAGTGCCCATGGGTGCATGATGGGAGATCACTGGAATAAACCGTCTCCACAGCTGAATCCATAGGCCCTAGGAATGTGAAGAAACTGGCTAAGAAATTTCACTGGCCTTGTCCAAACGCTTTTTGCCTTTCTTTTTTTCAAGATCTGTTTTATTTATTTTGTAAGAAAATAATCCAAATATCAAACACTAGTGAGGGTCCTATAGTCAAGGTCAGGGGTCATTTCCTGCAGGAGCACACAGGAGCGGAGCTCCGGCAGTAAAGAGCCCAGGGGGTGGGCACATGCAACAAGCCCCACCCCCTGCTCCCAGCAGCCCTCCGTCAGAGCAAGTAGCAGCCAGGTAAGTTGCAGAGTTTTATTCAGGTACAAGCTCTCCCTCCTCTGCTAGGGCAGATCTGCACATCCCCCCCCATAGCTAGCAATCCAAAACAGTCCAGTGGAGCCTGAGCAGTGGATGTTGCCTTCTGACACACTTCCGGTGATGTCAGGGGGTGTAGGATATGCAAATAAGTCATGCTAATGAGCTCCTGCACCTCTTTTTCTATGAAATGACCCCTGGTCAAGGTAGTAGGTTACAGGATATGTTTAAAAAGGCAAAATATAGACTTCAATTAAACACTATCTCATATTAACACCTAACTTCAAAAAATAACATTCCTATGAACCATAACTAATAGTACAAACTTAGTAAATGAATAGGCATCAAACATCATGGTCTTGTTGAGATGCAGTCAACTAATATTAGCCATATGTCAAAAGCTTAAACCTGAAGCTTTTTGCCTTTCTCAGTTCTCACTGAATCTGTTATCCAAGTGTGAACCTCCAAATTCATCTTGAAAGTTCACTTTAGGCAAAAGTCAATGTCAACTCTAAAACAAACCAACATTTGTACCTCAGGGCCAAATGACATGTTACAGTTAACACATGATCCCAATGGGAATTGGCAACAGGATTCCAAGTGCTTGTTCCCCATGAGAACTCAATTCTAAAGTGCCACAAGGACCTGGTTCCGATCTGGACCATGGTGTGGGGGGAGGAGGGGCCCCAGCCTTTCCCTGCATGCCTTTTCCTCAATTAAAAATGGCCCTCAAGGGGGGGGGAAACACGCTGAACATGCCAAGTTTCAGTGCACATGCAGCCCCTTGATAGGGCAAATAACCCCTCTTTGGGCCATTTTGTGTCAGGAAAATGGTGCCAGGTGAAGGCTGGAGCCCTCCTTCCCCTACCCCATGGTCCATGAATCAGGTCCCTGCAGCACTTTAGAAGTGAGTTCATATAAGGAACTTAACAGCTGGCATGCTCTTGCAAGTCTCTGAGATTATTGTGTGTTAAATGTAACATGCAGTTTGGGCCTTATATTAAGAGTAAGGAGGTAACATCCTTTACCACTTGCTCCCAGGATTAGCATAATCACCTGTGCCACTGAAATATATTTGTACAAGTACAGTGGTAAGAGAATGGGGAAAGGAGAACTGTACCTCCTCCCCCACCCCGGCTAGCCAGCTCTCAGATTCTGCAGCTCTTATATTCCGTAACAGCCGTGTAACATCCTTACCGGATACACCAAGGCTTCTGGCAGCAATTGGCAGCCTCTAGCAAGCACAGTTCCAATGTGTTCCTGTGTTTCATTCCTCTCCAATGTCTCATCCACATATTTAATGAGAATTGTACATACATGGCAGAATTCACTGGCCTTGTATGCGTCAAGGTAGTTCACTAGCTGCTGCAGAGCTAGCATCTCTGCGGAGAAACAAGAAGCAATTGGAGAGTTTACAGCCTGGGACTCTCCCCTGTCAGTGCATTCACCCCAAACCCCAGAAGGTGACCGCATGCTAAGAGAAGATGAGCACTTCATGTGAAGGGCCTACCAGTGGTCAAAGAGATGTCTTTGGGGCAGCATCGTAGCATGGTGCACACAGATTCAGGTTTAGTTGCCTCCAGGAGCATAACAACAACAGCCTTCCCATAGGAATCCACAAAGTCCTTGCACTGGGCCAAGATCTCATGTGGCAGCACATAGCAGACTTTCAACATTCCGTGGACGATTCCCTCCTGGAAGATAAAAGCAGGAAATGGGGAAATTACCCAGGGAGGTGGGGCAAGTGCTGCACTTTGGGAAAGGATAGCAACCGCCTCCTCCGCAGACAGCCAAGGTGCAAGAGTTACGACTGACCTAAAAACCCCAGCCACACTAACAAGAGCCAGAGATGATCAGGGGGCCTTATTTATTTATTTATTTGGGTTATTTCTGTGCCACCTCTCCAGAGTCTTGCTCAAAGCGGTACACAAATAAAAATGCCACAACATTACAAATAAAGCCATTAAACAAGCCAATATGCACAAGTATTGTCTAAGAGTGGGTATTTTGACTGATGCAGCTTGTGACACAGAGGTGAAAAAGACACCCTCTAGTAGAAAGAGAGAAACTGGGCACACTACTTGTTTATCCCACTGTTCCTTGAAGGAGTACAGCATATATAATGCCTCCCACACCCTTTTATCCTCAGAAGATCCCTGTGAGACAGGTTGAGAATGAATGACAGAGCCAGATTCACTAGTGAGATTCATGGCAGAGTTAGGATTTTAACATAGAGATCCCAATCCCAGTTTAACATTCTAGCCACTAACTAGGTTGGTCTCCTCGAGTGATGTTTCTTTTTTTCTACACAACCCTGCTCCCCTCTTTGCGTCCAGACAACACTCAGCTGTGTTGCTATACCAATTGCTTGCTAAAATAAAAGTCTGTGGAAGGCAGTCTGTGAAGAATATCCCCAAAATGGAAGCAATGAGGAAATTTTATGTATGGTGCAATTCAATATTCTAACACCCTCTTAAGAACATAAGAACATAAGAGACGCCAATGTTGGATCAGGCCTAAGCGCTTTAACCTTTCCTCATAGGGAAAGTGTTCCAACCCTTTTATCATTCGAGTTTCCCTTTTTTGCACTTTTTCCAAAGCTATAATATCCTTTTTAAGGTGTGGTGACCAGAACTGCACACAGTATTCCAAATGAGGTCGCACCATTGATTTATATAGGGGCATTATGATATTGGCTGATCTGTTTTCAATACCCTTCCTAATAATACCCAGCATAGCATTGGCCTTTTTTATTGCAGTCACACACTGTCTCGACATTTTCAGTGAAGTTATCTGCTATAACTCCAAAATCTCTCTCTTGATCAGTCTCTGCCAGTTCAGTATTTATATTTAGGAATTTTGCCTCCAATGTGCATCACTTTGCACTTGGCCACATTGAACCCCATTTGCCATGTTGACGCCCACTTGCCCATCCTTGACAGATCCCTTTGGAGTGCCTCACAATCCTCCCTGGTTTTCACCACCCTGAACAACTTCATTGAGAGTAGTGACAATGGCTCAGGCTTCGGAGTAGTACTCCAGACCAAGAGATGCCTTCTCGGCCTTACTTACTTCTGTGACGTTGTTCTCCAACAGACCTTCCGCCGCCTCAATCACTTTCTTGCATATGCCGCATGCCATAAAGGGCTTTTCCTGCTTTACAGCTTGCTGCAAGATGCATGTTTTTAAAATTATCAAACATCTCTTTCTTTAAAATGAAAACAAATAACAATATAGACAAATCCAATTTATTAGGGCTACTGTGAAAGCAAGGTTTTCATAAAGAGTAGTAGCATCAAAGGGCATTTTCATTCCTTCCCCTTCCGGCAGTGTTTCAGAGATGCTTTTTGAAGAGTTTGAAAGTGAACACCTATTAAGGAAATACTGGCTTACTTTAAAACTGACCAGTTTCCCTAACTGATGTAACCCATCGTCAAATCTTGTTGATGACATATAATATGGTACCATCATCCCATGTGCTGTGTGATCCCCATTCAGCTGTGATGGCCCATTTGACTAATCCAAGAACATGAAAACACAGTGATGGGGGATTTGGCACAGCCCCACTATGTAGTTTCTAAACAAGGTACATGTCTAGGCAGCCCCACCCCTGCACTCACCTGCTCCAGAAGATAAACCGGCAGGGGATGACTTTGCTCAGGCACCAGCACTACTGAGGCAGGCAGCTCAACCGGAGGATGGGGAGGGTGAGGCCAAACCCAGAAATGCACCACCAGCAGCCTCAGAGTCTGGATGCCTAGCGCATGCCTCAGAAGGGAGGTGGCACTCAGGCATCAGACTGCACCTGGGAACAGGCCAGAAGAGGCGGCCAACAGCAGATGGGGTCTCTTGGGTATGGCTGCCAATGGGTAGGGGATTCGCCTGCCCCCAGGTCCTATTGCCTACTGCTATGAGCACCGCAACGCTAGAGTCGGATTCGACTGGCTTCCGAGCAAGGGAACCTTTACCTTTAATTCCAAGTGGCAGCAGGGGTGGGTGGGGAGCAGTCTATGCACTCAGCAGAACTTGATATAGAAAGTGACAAGGGGAGCTCCAAGAACTACAAGAAACCACAGAACTAAGGTTATCCTGTAATTCCTAGAGCTACCCTTGTCATTTCCTGTATCAACTTCCAGTGAGTACATGAGGGTGAATTTTTTTTTAAAGTCTTCCGTTGACACTGTGCCCCCTACATATAACCAGTTGCCAAGCACTGCCTGACAACCCTTCTCTAGGATCCTGTGCAGGCAGACACAACAATCTCATAAAGCCTCAAGGGCAGGAGGGGCAGCAGGAAAAGGGAGGGCCCAGCCAGGGATGCTATTGACCCAGACTCCCTTCATTCACTAGGGGCCCACCCCTGAAAAGAGGGCCTTTGGGGAGTCTGGGGTTAGCCCACCCCCAGGAAATTTTGTTTTAGGCCAGCACAAGGAAGACCTAGGACAAAGGGCCAGACCACTTCCAAGATATCAAGGGAGAGGTGTCTGGAAAGAGGGAGAAGGAGAGCAGGGTGGAGGTGAAATCCCCCTTCTCACCCTAAAACTAAAAGGCTCTTTTTGGCATGGCCTGGAGAAAGGGGGACACTGGAGGGCACTACAGCCCCAGAGTCTACCCCTGCACCAGCAGAGACTGACAGTAAGCTTTATTCCACAATATCAGTTGTGGTCTTCTGAACATATAGAGATTGCTGGCAGACAGGAATTTATACCAAAAAAAGTTACTCTGACCATGGTACTTTTGGACAACTTCTTAAACAGATTTGGCATCATCCCACCACCACCACCACCACCAAATTAAGGGCTTTAAGTCCATGACTGATTTCAGCAGTTTTAAGTACATACTTAGATCTTGCTCATGAGACAGAAACACCCCCCCCAGAAAGAACAGTATCCAAGAATTTCCTTTTAATGTCAATGGGAATCCAACACTGAGAATTATCTTGTAAGGACAAGGCATCCAGAAACTCTTTTTTCTAAGGAAATGTGCAACTCCTGCTTTCAGAGAAACTTCATTAGTCTTATCAAAACTTTTAGGATGTTTTGCCTGTGAGGGAACCTCTACATCCACCTTGACTTTTGCATTAGGTAGAATTCTAGAGATATGCAGAGCAATACTAAGAGATTAATCCTATCAACACCTATTTTGCTTTCCTCAGAATGCCTCTGATGTTTTACCCAAGCAGGTGTGTCTGAATTTGCTCTGGATTTTGCTTTAGGTAAAATTCAGTGGCAGTTCTACCATTCTTTGTATGCAAATAGATCTCTAGGATCCTCTGTCTCTTCTCATCAGAGTGGTTAGAAGGTTCATTACTCTTACCTCCTCAACTAGTGCTGCGTACAATTCATGAAGGTGGCTGTCTGAGACCAAAGTATGAACAGGCTCAGACTTCGGAGAGTTGCAGAATCCAGCTTCTCTACAAATAGCCTTTGGTTGCTAAAAGGGAGAGAAACAATGACAAACTTCAGTGTCTCATGCTACTTTAATTTAACAAACATATGTGTTCTCTGAACATATCTTGCCATTTATGTAACCCAGATCCTGTACAATGAGCTGCAACTAAGGGGGTTAGGTTCAGTATGGGATATTATAAAATACAGATCAATTCTTTAGTCTGAAGTGGTGATAACTCATGCAGTGGCAATTAGGAGGCATCTGTGGCTCTTCTGAGCACTTTCCCCCAATGGGGCACCTGCTCCCTGTTTCAGGAAAGTAGGCAGGGCCCTTGCCAAGTGGGGATGGTGGCTGGTAGTTGGTTCCAACCTTGCGTATCACTGCTCTAAAGTATTCAGGGTTCAGTATATATATATATTGGCTAATCTATAGTGTGAATAAAATATATATATACACACACACACTAGGAATAATCTTTCAATATTTAATTAGCACTAATCTAAAACAAACCCAAGGAGTTATTTAGATTAACAGGAAAAGAAAAGCAATTACCACATGACAACAAATGCCCAACCCCTTCTGTTTTTTAAAGCAGGTTCTTAATAAAGGAACGCTAATCCGCCTTAATATGCAGACAGCTCCCATTTTTATCCCCCTTCAAACTGAATTGCTGGATAAATAGAGGTGGTCCAGTTCTTGAGGTGACTCCAACTATAGTCGCACACCCAAAACTCTCTCTGTCCCCACTGGAGAAGCTGCAAGCCTTCCACAGTAGGTGAAAGCCCTGTTCAACTGTCAGATCCAACTGTTGCTGAACATCCCAGCCCCTCAGCCCCTCCCTTCAAACAGAACCGGAAGCAGAATAGTAAAGAACCATATGCAAATCAGCAGCCTGAAGGCTTACAGGACCAAAGAACTTATGTGCCTTGCATGTGTGTTATCTAGAATGCACATCTGGCTTGGGCACTTTTTAACATGGTTTTTTAAAAAGACATAAAGTTAACAGTCCAATCTATGCGCTTCTCCTTTCCATAAGAGGCATATATGTCTTGTGGAAGGATATAGGGCCAGTCTTGCCAAGGAACTTTGTCTAGACAAATGTTCAAACATTCAGGTGGTTCAGTAAAATATAAATCTGTATGAATCCGCCTCATTGCTGGACTTGTGCCTCACTCCTCTCCCTTCTCATGCCAAGAACTATAGCTAAATACTAACTTTGGTTACTTGTGACATAAGAAAGCAGGTGTAGAGGTTAACTAGAATTAGTCCCTCCCCCCCAGGATCAAAGTCTAGATGGTTTAGGATCCCAATCTGTTGGGTGGGGGCAATAAGCCACCTTTCTTAATGTTTTTACTCAGGCCTCGGATGGGGCCGGAGCGCCCTGGAACGCTGCTCCGGGAGTGATACATGCAGGGGGCGGGCACATGATGAAGCCCCGCCCCTGCTTCCAGTCGCCCTCTCCTTTCAGTCCTCATTTCATGGCAGGACAAGGAAGAAGCAGGACGGTGAGTAGGCTTCTTACCTGCCACGCCCCTGGCTGCCTCCGGCCGCTCCACGTGGCCCAGGCAAGACCTCCCCGCACCGTCCTCGATCTTCCCTGAGTCACGCGGAGCCATGCGCCCTGGGAAAGATTGAGGCCCCCGTCCCTGCCTCCTTTTGGCCGCCTAGAGTGGCCTGAATGAGGACCCCCGGCCCTGCCTTGTGCTGGCCGCCCGGAGCGGTCTGAATGAACCCCCCTGTCCCTGCCTCATGCTGGCCACCCGGAGCGGCCTGAACGAGCCCCCCCCGTCCCTGCCTCGTGTTGGCCGCCTGGAGCGGCCTGAACGAGGCTTCCCATCCCTGCCTCGTGCTGGCCACCCAGAGTGGCCTGAATGAGGCCCCCCCATCCCTGCCTCGTGCTGGCCACCCGGAGCAGCCTGAACGAGGCCCCCACCCCCCGTCCCTGCCTCCTGCTGGTCGCCCGGAGCGGCCTGAACGAGCCCCCCCATCCCTGCTTCTTTCTGGCCGCCCGGAGCGGCCTGAACGAAGCCCCCATCCCCCGTCCCTGCTTCCTTCTGGCCGCCCGGCAGCCCCTCCGGCAGCTCTTTTTCTACAAAAAGACCCTTGTTTTTACTTAACTACAAACTTCAGTGTGACATCTGGTCAACGGGGGCATTGGGGGGGGTATTCCAGATCATCGTCTTCTCTACAAGTTCCCTGTGAGTGGGCATAGCTTGAAGCTGATCAGATTTTCTTATACCTAAGAGCATTGTGTGATCCACTCAATTTCATTTGGAATTTAGAGTACAGTTAGTGTGCCTAATAACTGGGAAAACTTGAATCCAGAAGACTTGTTTTTAATCCATACCATTATTCTCAAGCAGGGAGGTGTGCTGGGAAGGCAATCCTGCATTCTTCACTGATGTTCTGTAAGTGCCAGCCCCCAATTATACAGTAGAAGTAAATATATTAACATTAACTGAATTGGCACACTTAACTACTTTGCTCTGGTGCTTTTTTTGTTTGCTTAAAATATTTAGGAAGTTTCATTCCGATTAAGTTTCTATGTGCTGTAAACAGAAGGTCTGTGGTTTATGAATGTTCAGCTAAGGTTGGTGGGGGTGCTGATAGTTCTAAGGGTGCAGAAGGCAGGCAGGCAGGCAGTGGAAGGACAGGGAGGGGTCCCCAATGATCTATCTACTACTCAGCTAAAGTCTAAACTTAAAAGCAAAATCTGCCCAGAGTTTCCAGTTGTCCTCCAGAACCACAAGAGCCCTTTGAGGAGGCTCATCATAGCCCCCAACCCATGAAGCCCTTTGATGCTATCAGACTGTGTCTAGCAGGGAGAGCAGGCAGGAATGATATTGCAGCTGGACCTTGTAACTGACTTTCAACCTCCCTCCACTTCCAAGCAAATCAAAATAAAATGCTGGGAACTCCATCCATGAAACACCCATGATCCCATGAGCCTCTGTTCAAGAGGGCTGCAGTGGTTTGCCTGGACCCCCCACACAATGATGCAGCACAAGGATTCCTATGAGTGAAAAGCAAAACACAATTACAAGGCAATATTCTCACATACCTGGTCCTACGATCCATTACAAAAGGGGCAAGAGGAAAGAAAGAGACAATAGTTAAAATCATAAGACAATCCTAAGAGTAAAATCTATAGGCTGGCCCATCCTAAAAAAAAAACTACCACCCACTTTCACTATATTATAGTTTAACTGTGCACCTGTTCCCTTGCTATTTTACATATGGCTATGTCAGATTATCCTATGCTTTCAACAGTGATTAAAACACCACCCTTGGAAGGTGTGAATCTTCCTCAAAAGCAACAAATACACTGCCTATCCAAACAAGGAAAATAGATCCACTTTAGTACTGTACTCCTCACTCAAATATTAACATGTCCTTTAGCATCTGCTTCATCAACTAGAAACCCCTTTTGCCAAAGCCAGAATCCTGAGTGGAATACACGCCAGGCTGCATCAGACATTCTAGATCAAGCAAACTAAAGGCCACTTTCATGTTCGTTTTTAAAATGCCAGAGGCCTTTTATCTGACGTTGCTATAACTGCTGATGTAGGTTATATTCTGGGGGCAAGGTGATGTGAACTTTAGGATCAGTGGGAGAAACCTTGGTCTCTTGCATGCAGATAGCTAAAAGCTAGAAGCCATGTCATGCCAGCACAGGGCTGGGGATCCCATTGATTGGGGCTAGAGGGAGGTATGGCGGTGGGAGAAGGTCCTGGAATGGAAGGAGACAGAGACATGGCTATGCTTAGTCTCCTTCCAACCTTCGTCCCATACCAAGATACGTTGGTGAGAGGGCTAGGAAACCATACCTCCCTTCGACACTGATGTTGCGTAATGCCAGGACCAATAATAATAAGACCCCAATGCTGCAAAGCTATATTACAGTGCAAGATGTGGACCTGGCACACGTGACCGAGATCTGGACAAGGGATGGTGAAACAGTCACCTTAAAAGAGCTGACCCCCTCCAGGTTTCTTGATCCTTCATCAGTCTCAGATTGGGGGAGGGGTAGCGATACTCATCAGAGCAGATTTTTCCTTCAGGGCACTCCCCATCCCGGGGATCACCAGCACTGATTGTGTGGTCCTGGTCTAGGACTCTGAGGAGAGTTTGGCTGTCTGTCTGATGTGTCTGCTAGAAGCAGTAGCTGCCCACCATGCCTGCTAGAAGCAGTAGCAGGCTGGGTCTTGGAGTTCCTGAGATTGATAGTTCTAGGGGACTTCAACGTTCATGCTGATGCCACTTCCTCTTAGCAGGTGTCAGTCCACTCCTGGAGTCCTCCATGGCATCATTAGGGCTCTCCCAGATTGTATCAGGTCCCACACACCAAGGAGGCCACACACTGGACTTGGTCTTTGGCATGGGGATGGATCTGGATCTGGTGGCCAGAACAATTGGTGCCAGGGTCAGATCATTATGCCCTGAAGGTCTGGCAGGGTGTCCCTGCCACACACACACCCCGCCAAAAGCGGCAAGCGGATTTATGCTCACCCATGGAGACTAATGGACCCAATTGGGTTCCAGAATGCTCTGTGATAGCCAGGGCCCTCCGGCAATTCATTGGATGTCCTGAGAGAGGACTGGAACTCCTGCCTCTCTGAAGCCATTGATGAAATAACTCCCCAGCATCCTCTCTGTTCCCGGTGCAAGTTATCCCCCTGGTACACTATGGAGCTCAGGGGGATGAAACGGGAACTCAAGATGACTAGACAGAGTTTGGCAGTGTACTCATGACGAAGCTGCAAGAGCATCTTATAGGACGTTTATGCATCTGCTAGCTCTCACCTAGCACAATTATTTAGGGTAATTAGATCCTTAATCTTCTCTCACTGAGGGAACTCAAAATATTATGAATTTGGCCATTAGCTGTGAGGCTTTTGCAAGCTTTTTTGCAGATAAAGTCTTGTCACTCCGCCATAATCTCCCGGCCAATATTGATACAGTAAGTGAACCGGAGGCCCCTTGGCCGTCTTTGGATTCAGTATCTGACAGCTTCAACCAGTTATCCTGAGCTGATGTCAACAGGATTCTAGGTACTGTTAGGCCAACTATATGCCTCTTGGACCTGTGTCCCTCATGGCTCGTGGAACCAGTGGTGAAGGGATACAGGGGCTCCTGGTAGACATTATCAATCTGTCACTGGGTTTAGGGGTCTACTCAGAGGGGCTAAAAGAGGCTGTGGTTGTGCCACTCTTGAAAAAACCAACCTTGGATCCTATGGATCCTTGCAATTACTGCCCAGTCTCGAGTCTTTCATTTCTGGGTAATTTAATTGAATGAGCAGCAGCAAAACAGCTCCTGAAATTCCTGGATGACACATCAGTGTTGGACCCATTCCAGTCCAGTTTCCACCCCAGCCCCAGGACAGAGACAGCTTTGGTCGCCCTCACAGACACTCCCCACAGGCAGTTGGATCGAGGTGGGTTGGCACTGCTGTTATTGCTCGATCTTATAGCAGCATTTTACACAGTCAGTCATGATCTTTTGACCCACCGCCTTGTCAGTGTAGGAGTTCATGGTGTAGCCTTACAATGGTTCACCTCATTTCTCCATGGTCAGACACAGAGGGTGGGTGAGACAGTGTCAACTAGGCACCCACTAATATGTGGGGTTCTTCAGGGGGCAATCCTCTCCCCAATGTTATTTAATATCTACATATGCCCACCCAACTGGTGTGGAGTTTCAGGCTGGGATGTCACCAGTATGCTGATGACACCCAGCTATACCTGTTGATGGGTAGCCAACCAGATACTGATCCTGCGAATTTGGCTGAGGGTTTGGAGGGTTTGGTGAGATGGTTAAAGCAGACTCAGTTGAGACTGAATCCTGATAAGAAGGAAGTTCTGTGGCTGGAGGGGGGGAACCAGATTTGGAAGGCTAACTCCCGGCTCTTGATGGTATGTCCTTACTATTGGCACTGACTGTCAAGAGTCTGGTTGTGATTCTAGATGCCTCCTTGTCAATGGAGACCCAGATCACAAATGTTGCCAGATTGGCATTTTTCCAGCAGTGCCAAGTCAGGCAATTGGCCCCTTACCTGTCTTGCCCTGACCTAGCTACAGTAATCCATGCAACAATCATCTCCAGGCTAGATTACTGTAACTCGCTCTATGTAGGGCTGCCCTTGAGGCTGCCCCGGAAACTCCAGCTGATTCAGAATGTGGCTGTGTGGGTCCTTGCTGGGATCCCTCACACGGCAAATATTCATCCTGTGCTGCATGAGCTGCACTGCGTTCCAGTGGAGTACAGGATCAGGTTCAAGGTTCTGGTGTTAACCTTTAAAGCCCTTAATGGACTGGGACCCATGTACCTTCGGGACCACCTCTCCTGGTACACCCCCAGAAGAGCTTTATGCTCAGGAGATAAGAACTCCCCGGCCCAAGAGACATCTGGCTGTCCTCAACTAGGGTCAGGGCAAATCATCATCATCATCATCATCATCAAAAGAAGAAGAAGAAGAAATTTTTTAAAAATCAGGAGATTAACATTAGCCATGCAGTCCTAAACAGAACTATAACTTTCTAAATCCATTGAAGCTGACTGGCTCAGAAATGCATAATTCTGTTTAGGACTGCCTGGTTGATGGGGTTTTACAAACCTCACCACTAATTAGTGTTATTCGTTGCATTTCCAAGTACTATTCTTCTATTTGTAAAGAGTCTGAGTCCTAATTATGTTGATGAATGCTGCACAATGGGGCCTCCCACAGACAATCTAGGGATCTATCCAGTCTCTAGGGACTCTCCAAAGATGCAGGAAAATAAGACTTTGTAAATTACCCAAAAGGCAAAGTCCCAAACCCAGCCTGAGAACTAAAAATGATGCACACTATTGAGAGCAGTTGAGAGTCGGTTAAAGGGGAAAAGCGACAAGGGGAAATTAACATGCTTCTGAAGCTTAAGAGAAGCCCCTGGAGTGAGATATTTTGGATTTGAGGGTGGGATTTCCATATTATTCCACCCCTCTCACAATTCCTCCCAGGCACTGTATCAGAGTTATCTAAATCTCCTGATAATTACATTCCTATGTCAATTGTATCTATGAATAGAATCCAGTGTCTAGAATATCTAACAGCATTCAGAATAATACCATTTTCCCATTTTATGGCTATACTGCCATAAAATTGGGCCAGAGTGACCATGCTTTGTTTTAAACAGTCCGTAGAAACTTGTAGACTTGTAGACAGAGAAGTTTTCCATCACAGAGGTTAAACAGGTAGAGACTGGAAACAGGGTCTTTTCTGTGGTGGCAGAACCCTGTGGTGGCCTTTTCTGTGGTGGTACCATATCTGTGGTGGCACTTGTCTGACTCCAGGTAAAGTGGACCCTGTTTACTTATGCTTTTAATCACAAATAGATCAAAGACAGCTGCTTATTTTCAATTGCTTTAGTCCTGCCTCTTTTACACCTTTGGATCTCATTGGTTTAGAGTATTGTTTTTTTATTGTTAGACTCTGAATGCCTCTAGAGTAGAATGACAGGATTTTTAAAAATTAAATAAGCACACTTACCAAGAACTCTGTCAGCAGCTGGATAAAAAGATGTGCATATTGGAAGACATACTTCTTACACTAGGGAAGAAAAATAGTTCCAACAATTACTAACCACTATTAACCATGAGCACCAGCCAGTCATCTCAGATATACATGTAGTCACACTGATGCCATATTGTAGAAAATTCTATATCCACTCCTGAATGGGCAAGACTCCCCCCACTGCATTGCATTTTGAATGGCTTGTTATAGCACTATGATCAAAGATATACAGTATAATAATATTAGGCATACCTATAGCACTTTAAGCACTCAAAGCCATTCACATTCATTATCACAGTAATGTTTACAACAGACCGGTAGAGTAGAACAGCAATATTATGATTCTTATATTGGAGTTGGGGGAGGTGAGCTGAAAGTAGCTTGCCTAATGCCACAAGAGGTGAGATCTGAACTAACAACTTCCATTATCACATTCCTTTAATCACCAGGCTAAATCTGTGCAGTAGAGGGATACTATCACTAAAGGAAAATGACTTGTGCACACACAGGCTGGAAATGCTCTGCTCTGGCTTTAGAAATCCTTTGGTTGGGTCCTACCATCTATTCAGTTGGTGAAAGGCAACTTCTTCCAGTGCAGGGGTGGCCAATCTGCCAGAATTCCTCCTCCAACTCCCCCACATAGTACCTTGAATACCAGGGGCAGCATTTGAAGGATCACACCGTGAGACAAGAGGAGAGGACTCTGTTCTTCAAGGCAAGTTCCATTCCATTTGTGGATCATTAGATCTGATTGTAATCCAACCCTTAAAGATCTAATGCATTGCTTCACCTATCCTAATTGTTCTGGAATTCGAGACCTGCCCAGCATTTTCAATAAATAGCTACCAACACTAAATATAGGTTCTCATGTGCTAGGAGAAAGGCAATAAGGAAAGTGAAATACAATGACCTGGTAAATGTCAATGGATCCTTGACAAGGGTTTGCTATTCAGATTAACCAAACCTAATAGATTAAGCCATTCAATATTATCAAGGAACGAAGGCTCATCCTTCAACACCTTGATCATTAGCAAGGTTACTGGATAATTCCACCAGCCTCCTTTCTCAGTGATGAACAACATTCCAACTCCTGTCTTTATCCCCATAGAGAACCTGATTGTTCTCCGTATTCCGCTTCCTCATTTGCTCTAACGCCGTTAAGCAGTAGGGTTTTCCAATATAGTAACCCCACCACCACCACCAGCACCCATGCATGCTTCAAAGCTATTTCGACTCTTGAAAATGGTGTGTGTGGGGGGGAGACACAGCCCCTCATCTCCTTCACACCATGGTCCCCTGCAGGATGGGACCTCTATACCATTTTTAAAAGTAAAACAATAAGCTCTAAAATGGCACACTTGGGGAGATGATATCTTTTTAGTGTGGCCCTCCCTTCCTCTCTCCCAGGATCCCAGAGCAACAATAAATGGACAAAGCCTCTAGCAAGGGATGAGTGAAGAGCAGAACCAGAACCAGTTATAAATTAATGCTACACAATCCAGCCTCACGCCTCTTGAGGTCTGCAATGTAGTTGCTGGTTCCATCAACAACCCAGGCTGTGTAAGGCCACTGAACACCTCCAGCTGGTGCCACTGTGTGGTAAGCAACAGGAAGGGGTGGGCACAACTGTTGTCCTGTGAAACTAATAGCTGCTACCGGCATATATTAAACAGGCTGCCATGGGATAGGGCCCTGACTTAGACGGTCCAGGCTAGCCTGATCTCATCAGATTTCAGCTAAGCAGAGGTGTCCCTGGTTAGTACTTGGATGGGAGACCACCAAGGAAGTCGAGGGTCGCTATGAGGAGCAGGCAACGGCAAACCACCCCTGTTAGTCTCTTGCCTTGTAAAACATACAGGGTTGCCACAAGTCCGCTGCAACTTGATGGCACTTTCCACCACCACCATGGGAGAGGAAATATAGCACATTGTAGAAACTCAATTACTGCACCATGATTAAGAACAAGAAATATTATGCAAATCCATCTTTTCAGCCCTGTTGAAAAGCTGCTGTTTTACGAAGGGATGGCCTCCTTCCTCCCTGGTGCTGACACATGCCGTTTTCAGACAGGGACATCAGCAGCTGCCACCAGGCACGAGCCACACATCTTAGCAAGTTCTTGGCTATCTTGGCACGTTGGATATCGCTTTATCACTCAAGTGACACAGAAAGCCCATTACCTCCTCGGCCAAGGCAGGCCCCAGACTTTCACAGTGTTGTTTGGCATAGGCAGCTAAGGACTGAACAAGGAAGGGGCTGCTCTTCACGGCTTCCTTCATATCAGCAACTACCTTTGCACACTCTCTGCAGGAATCTTCTTTCTCCTGCCAGAACAAACATAAGGTGAGAAAATGAAGAAAATGTCTGCCCAGAAAATAATGTGGCACAAGTTTCTCTCTTTAAAAAGGAGAAATCTTGTGCCTCTGGAGACTATTTAAAGGTGAAGGTTTGATAGGTAAAGAAATCAGGCTAGGATAAGGCCATCTTGCCCAGATTCTAGTGCTCAAATATTCTGCCTCCTTGGTATTTTTCACAGTGAACTGGACACAGTATGTTCCATTACCTTATCATGGCCGGTAAAAATTAAGAAATGAGTGCCCTGATATGTAAGACTGATCCCTGCCTACCACCCCCTACTAGGGCTAGCGATGGTGATGCATGTGCAGCTATTGTTTGAGTCCAGCCATGGCTATTTGCACAAACTAAGAGTGTGTATTTATGTGAGTTTATACAAGGCATTTGGCCATGCCAGAGGCAGCATGAGGGCTTAGGCACAGTGCTTCAGGCATGGGAGGTATGAGTTCTGTGTCAGGCCATACCCCAATAGGCTAGCAATATTTAATCCATTTACAAAATGCAATTTGCCTGTCCCTGCTGAAAATACAAGGCCCAGTCACCCATAACACACTGTGTAGCATAGGGTCAAATGAGATGCATGGGTGATGGGAGTTCTTTCCCCCTCTCCTGCATTCAGCCCTTTTTCTCTCAGCCTGGATCCAATAATGGGAGAAAAAAGCTCGAGGCAATGGACAGAGAGATGGGGAGGGGAGGTTTGCTAGGCCTGATCCAGCAAATGCTGGGAGATTTGGGGGGCAGTGCCTAGGGAAGGTGGAGTTTAATTGGAGGCGAGGGCCTTCCTCCATCCCACTCTAGAGATTCCTGCAATCTCTAATGTCTTCACCATAAAGATTGGTGAAATTCCTTATAGCAGCATAGAAGAAGTGATGTGGCTTCTGGGTGGAGGGTTGCTGGCTGTGATGTTACTTCTGGGTGATGCTTTCGGAATTCCATCTCTATGGTCTGAGTCACACAGATCAGGGGAAATTCCTACAGCATCACCATCAACATTATTCCTCTCCCCCATTTTTTCTCCTGCCACTAAGGTTAGCAAGGATGGGAGCCCAAGGGTGGGGGCAAAAGATTGCCCGTTGCCACTGGGCAAAAGGCAACCTTATAGCTCCTCCATTCCCTCTGATATTAACATTAGACCCCCTCACCTTTATACGGGAAAAAGGGCATACAATCAGTATGGATGCTGTCATCATGTCTAGTTTGGCCTTTATACACCACTGGAATGCAGGAACATGTCTTGGGCTTGCCCATACTTCCCTCCTGCATATATGGGTCTATTGTGTTGTTGTGGTACAGCATAACATGCCACGGTCTGTTTAACATTAAAATATTTACCAACCAAAGATGCTATATACAAGATCCAGGTAAAACTCACTCTGTTATAGGGGGTGTGCATTCAGCCTATACTGTGTCAAAAACAATCTGAAAAATACCTTATCGATATTTTCCAGATATTTTTTCAGCTGGATATAGAGTCAAGTACTCATTCGGCTATCCAGAAATGGCCAACCCAAAAACTCCCAAAAATACTTGGGATTTTTCAGGGCCGCCATATAGCTGGAGGTAAAGGGATTACAGTCCCTTTCAACACCTTCTGAGTGAACTCACTGCTTCAAGAAGGCATTAAAAGGGACCACAATCCCTTTAAATGCCTTCAGAGTTCACTTGTGACTTGCAAATAGCATTTAAAGGAACCACAATCCCTTTCAATGCCTTTCCCCCCCTCCTTTGGAAACTATGGAGGATGGGGGCAGCTATGCTGGGCAGTCCCATTTAAACCAGGATGCCCAGCAGAGTGCCAGCAGAGCCTGTGGGGAGAACTCTCCCAGCAGGATCAGCTCCGGGGTGGGCTCTGTTGGGGAGTCCAGTCTAAACCGGACTGCCCAACAGAGCCTACAGGAAGAACTCTCAGCTGGGGCTGGCTCCTCTTTGCAGTTTGGTGTAAACCAAGGTACAAAGAGGAGCCAGCCCAGGATTGGAGGGGGCAGCAGGAGCTGACAGCTCTACATCACCTCGGCTGGTGCTGGCTCCTCTTTGAAGCTCAATTTAACCCGAGCTGCAAACAATAGCCAGCTCTCAGGATCAGCCTAGGTGGCATGGAGCTCTCAGCTCTCTCCGCCCAAGCTGATCCTCTCTTTCTGTTCCTTGTCGGGCCCATTGGACCAGAAAAAAACTGGGAATCCTGAATATTTACTGAATCAAAATACCATATCAGTATTGGGATTCCAATATTATTCAGGTTCAATATACCTGAACCTGAAAAATACCATTTTTTGCACACCCCTACTCTGTTTACAAGAAACATTTCTTTATAGGTTCATTGGGCCTAATCTACTCTATCAGTCCCTCCAATTAATTGTAGCAATATGGCTCCAACTGAAATCAGTCTGTTTCTACTGAGTCCAGTGTTGGAAACAACTGCTGCAAAACTGCCATAAAGCAAGCTGCTTAAAAACAGGAAACATGGGCCCTATTCATAAGCACCTATGCAATTAGGCACTGAGTGACTGTTGGTAAAAAGGCTTGGGCAAATCATACTAGTGAGGCCTATGCACAGAACCCAGTTTGAATCAATGATATGGGATAGGGTAACGGAGGGTTTTATAAGCATTCCTGAGGCACACTCTTCTGCTTCACCCATGTATAAGCTTCAGTGTTTGGCTGTGCATGAACCACCATGAAAGTTTAATTGCTTCAAGAGTCCTTTCAAGCCCAAATGGCAAGATCTGCCCTTTTGCTCAAACTTTCTAGCCTGCTACACACAACAGCCCTGCACATTCACTGTATGTGTGGGGAGGAATGAGTACACAGGTCCTGTCCCCTGCCTCCCCAGAACTTCCTGGTCTTCTACAAGGTGACCGTGTGGATGAAATGGCCAAACGAACTCTAATCTGGTGATCAGTGACGTTCCTAAACCAGCTTCATTGATCACAGGAAGTGAGCGTTTGAACACTTCCTCCGCACCTAGGGCTCAAACTCTAATCTGGTGATCAGCTTCATTGATCACAGGAAGTGAGAGTTTGAACACTTCCTCCGCACCTAGGGCTGCAAGGCATCACGTGGCAACAGGTAAGTGATGGGGGGAAGTGGGTGCTTACTACGAGGGAGGCAGTGATTTTCATTGACGTGTGATGACATCACTTCCATTGCAACCTGTAAGCACTAGCATTGCACCAGGGCAACACTCTAGCACTTGCCCAAAAACTCTATGGATTTTCTGGGCAACTGCTAGAGTGTCACCCCAGTGTGATGCCGCTCTTCCAGGCTGCACCAGAAGTGACATCATTGCTCACAGATGAAGCTCCCCCTCTCTTTTGCCAGCCTACTTGCACCTGCTGACCAGATGAGCGTCATCAGGCATCAGTAACAATTACCAGCAGTTTGCTCACCATTAGTGGGGAACCGCTAAGTCTATCTGCACAGTTGTCCCTATAGACAACCAGATGACTGTAAGGGGGCAAGGGCGGTGCTCTCACTAGTGCTGCGAAGCTCCCCAGTTCCCATTGCCCACCACTGCTGGAAGGAGTGGGCAAGAGAAAAAAGAAAAATAAGGCCTTGTCTACTTATAGGAAGTTCTTCTCATAGAGTTCCTGGTGATTCCTAGGGTTACCCAGGAGTGACAAAGGGTGGCTCTAGGAATTGCTGGGAACTCTATAGTTTCTGGCTATTCCCAGAACTACCCTATGTTATTTCCGGGTAGCTCTAGGAATTGCCAGGAACTCTGTGATAATAACTTCCTTTAAGTAAACAAAGCCCTATTTTTCTTTTTAATTCTTCTCCTGGGATGCTGACTCCACTGTCTCCCACTCTCCCTTGCTGTGTGTTCAGTGAGCATATGGGGCTGTCATGTGCACCAGTCTACTAAAGACCACCATTCCTTCCTGATTCTATGTACAGAGTTTTAGCTGGAGGAGTCAGATAAACCTCTCACTGCATCCTCACCTGAGTATCCTCTTGAGGATAAAGGAGAAGAGGGACATTAGCTATGAAAGGAGACATAATTTGGGGGAAGTCTAGTTCAGGCTCTCCATTGGACTTCAGTGGCTTCTGGAACTTCAGAGCTCCTTGGCGAGTTTCTTTCTGGGTGCACAACCTGAAAGCAGTGCACACTATTTCAGGCCTATCCTAGAAAGAGCAATAGAGAGAAAAAGTTTTGCATGACATCACCAATATGTGCAAGTTTATACACAATATCATCCCTGCAATGCTTCACTTTTTTTCCCCATGTGAACTTGTTGTAGACAAATCCCCCCCCCAGGAAACTGAAAGTTGTAGAACAGAGATCTTGTTTCCTGTGGTGCATCCTCTCATCTTACTACCATCTTTGGTCAAATGGGTTTTACACATTCTTGTAATGCTTCAAAATCTGCAAAACCCACCTAGCCAGAAAGAGGCAACAATTGAAGAAAAGAACAACAAATTTAGAGTCCAGTGGCACTTTTAAGACCAATGAAGTTTTATTCAAGGTATGAACTTTTGTGCGCAAGGCACACTGTTTCAAATACCCTGGAATGGTAGGTGAGGGTCAAACTTATAGATAGGGGATGAACAGCAAATTAACATGTAACATGTTGAAGAAGTTTTAAGATATACCAAGACAAAACTAAATAACAAGCTAAGGTTATAAGGTGTAAGGTTATAAGCGGTAAAGCAATAAATATGCCAAAATAAGGCTGAGACTCTCCATTCACTCCTCTCAGGCATGGAGAACACTTTAACAGCATGTTTTTCTTTTTTGAGGTGGGTGTATTATGTCAGCCAAACGTTCCAACATTCCTTGTATTACATTCAGTAGTCTAATACACAATTCTGAAAAAGAAATACATTAAATACAGAGGATGTATTTAATATATGAAAACATACGTTAACTCATTCAGTCCTCACATATGTATTCTGGTGCACACCCTGGAGGAAAAGGAAGGAGAAGAAGTGAAGACAGGACAGGAGTTGCCTCAGTCATGAGCGGGGAGGGTGGTTATACCACCGGTACTCCAGCTCCTTAAGATTAGGGATATTAGGGTTAGGGTTATTAGGGTTAGAGTTAGGGTTATTAGGGTTAGGGTTTGGATTATTAGGGTTAGGGTTAGGGATATTAGGGTTAGGAGTATTAGAGTTAGGGTTTGGGTTATTAGGGTTAGGGGTATTAGGGTTAGGGTTATTAGGGTAAGGGTAGGGATGTTAGGGATATTAGGGTTAGGGCTAGGGTTGTTAGGGTTAGGGTTATTAGGGTTATCGTCTCTTCAGTATTATTGTTGGGTTTTGCAAGTGTCACCCCTTCAGTCATAGAATCATAGAATGTTAGAGTTGGAAGGGACCTTGCAGGTCATCTAGTGCAACCCCCTGCACTCTGCAGGAGCATACCCGAAAGATAGCCCTACAACATACCCGAAAGATGGTCATCCAGCCTCTGCTTGAAAACGTCCAGAGAAGGAGCATCCACCTCCTCCCATGGCAGACTGTTCCACCACAGCTCAACCACTCTTTCAGTTATGAAGTTTCTCCTGATATTTAGTCGGTAATGACTCCCTTGTAATTTCCACCCATTAGACCTAGTCTTGCAATCCGGAGCAAGAGAGAATAGATCCACTCCATCTTTTATATGACAGCCCTTCAAACACTTGAAGACTGCAATCATGTCCCCTCTAAGCCTTCTCTTTCCCAGGTTAAACATACCCAACTCTTTCAGCCTTTCCTCATAAGACTTAGATTCCAACCCTCTCACCATCCTGGTTGCCCTCTTCTGGACACGCTTGAGCTTGTCAACATCCTTCCTAAAATGTGGTGCCCAAAACTGGACACAGTACTGCAGGTGAGCCCTGACCATAGCAGAACAGAGCGGAACTACCAACTCCCGTGATCTGGTATGTTTCTGTTAATGCATCCTAAGATTGCATTAGCTTTCTTTGCAGTCACATCACACTGCAGGCTCATGTTTAGTTTGTTATCAAGCAGAACACCTAGATCCCTTTCACATGTGCTCCTGTCAAGCCAAGTCCCTCCCATTCTATATCTATGCCTTTGATTTTTTGTACCTAAGTGTAGGACTTTGCACTTATCTCTATTGAAATTCATTTTATTTGTCTCAGCCCACTGTTCCAGCCTATCTAGATCATTTTGAATCCTGACTCTGTCTTCTTCAGAATTAGCAATCCCACCCAGCTTCGTGTCATCTGCAAATTTGATAAGCATCCCCTCTGTATTGCCAGAGTCAACCATTTTAGTAACTCTGTCAAAAAAGGAGATAAGGTTGGTCTGGCGAAGACAGAGGTCCTGGGCCTAAGTCGGGTCGGTTCGGGGCTGGGGCTCCCTCTCCCGGCCTTCGATGGGGCACCGCTCATGCCGGTGTCGAGGGTTAGGAGTTTGGGAGTGCTCCTGGACTCCACCTTATCAATGGAGGCCTAGATGGCAGCCACTGCCTTTTTCCATCGGCTGGCGTGGCAGCTGGTTCCTTTCCTTGACCGCGATGACTTGGCCACTGTGATCCATGTGACGGTCACCTCAAGGTTGGACTACTAGAACACTCTCTACATGGGGCTGCCTTTGTCGCAAATCCGGAAGCTGCAGCTGGTGCTGAATGCGGCAGCCAGGCTGTTGATGGGTCTCACTAGACAGGACCACGTCCAGCCTGCGCTGAAGGCACTGCACTGGCTGCCTATAGCATACCGGATTCGCTTCAAAGGGCTGGTTCTTACCTATAAAGCCCTTGATGGCCAGGGTCCAGCGTACCTAAGGGACCGCCTTTCTAGATATGTTCCCCCAAGAGCGCTACGGTCGGGGTCGCAGCACCTATTGATGGTTCCCGGCCCCAAGGACATCAAGCCGGCTGCAACCAGGGCCAGGGCTTTTTCGGCGGCGGCTCCTGTCTGGTGGAATGAGCTCCCAGAGCAGGTTCGGGCCCTGCGGGACCTGGCGCAGTTCCGCAGGGCCTGCAAGACGGAGCTCTTCTGCCAGGCCTTTGCATAGGAGCTGCCGCTGTCACTGTACCACCCCCAAGTTGCCATCATCTACGGTGGATTAAATCTGGAGGTGAGCCGGCCCTGGGCAGACGCCTAGTTAACCGAAGAATGCTTGTTGTCAGACTAGGTTGATGAATGGAATTCATCTTGGATTAAGAACATTTAACATCAAGAGCACCACACTTTACTTAATTACTGTTTCACACTGTTTAATGATTGTTTTTATGTTTTTTAGTCGTTGTTATGGCAATTGCCTCTGTTGTAGCCACCCTGAGCCCGTTGGGGGAGGGCGGGGTATAAATCTAATAATAAATAAATAAAAATAAATAAACCCATGCTGGCTACTACCAATTAACTCATTCTGTTCAAGGTGCTCACAGACAGAGCGTTTAATAATCTGCTCTAGAATTTTCCAGGTATTGATGTCAAACTGACAGGCCTATATTTTCCTGGGTCCGTCTTTTTTCCCTTCTTGAAGATTGGGACAACATTCACTCTTCTGCAGTCTTCCAGCACAACACCAGTACCCCAGGACATCTCAAAGATTAGAGCCAGAGGCACCCTGGGATGCAAGCCATCCGCCCCAGAAGATTTGGAAGTATTTAAGGCAGCTAGATGCTCTCTAACCATTTCCTTCCTTACTCTGGACTGGCAGTTCCTCCATATCCCCTGCATTCTTCAGTTTGTATACAGCTCGCCTTACGACGCAAAGTGAGAGTTGAGTAATTCCGCTTTGTCTTCATCCCTTGTTAAGGCTTGACTGTCTTCCCCTAGCAATGAGCTTACCCCATCCCTGTTCTTCTTTTTGCTCCAAACATACGCATAGAAACCTTTTTTGTTGTTTTTAGCATCCCTCGCAAGCCTCAGCTCCATCTGTGCTTTAGCCTTCCCTACAGACACCATCCCTACCCTACAGACACCATCCCTACAGATTCGAGCCTGCTTCTTGTGCTTCTTTCAGTCATGAAAGGGTTACGTTTCTGTAAGCTATTAATAGCAAGTTTAAAAGAGAGTCATGTAGATTCCTCCCACCAAAGAGAGGGAGGTTTTATTCTTAATGAGCTGACCCAATATTTTGGAGATAGTTTGTGCTATTTTGCTCGTACATAAGGGGTAGACCTTGGGGATAAGGGGGACTTCTATTTCTTCCTTCTTAGGGTCAGAGGAAACAAAGAAACAAGATGGAGTAGATTAGAACTCGAAAGATGAGTTAGACAGTTGTTGTTTTCTTTCCATGCAATCGTTTCCCTAATTGTGAACTTTTTCTTAGAAGTTAACCATACACGTTTCAATACCGCATTTTCCCACTGTGCTTCATTTACTCTGCTAAATATCCAACAACCATCCTCACAACAATCCTGTGAGACAGGTTAGGCTGAGAGTATGTTAGCCCTAGGCCACCCCACACACTTTCATTTCAGAGTGTGGACTCAAACCTAGGTCTCAGAGATACTAAACCAACATTTTCCCACTGTACTTCATTTACTCTGCTAAATATCCAACAACCATCCTCACAACAATCCTGTGAGACAGGTTAGGCTGAGAGTATGTTAGCCCTAGGCCACCCCACACACTTTCATTTCAGAGTGTGGACTCAAACCTAGGTCTCAGAGATACTAAACCAACATTCTGACCACTACACCACACTTGCACTCAGTCTCTGGATCTTGCTCAGATCCCTTGGATCCCAGAGTGATCAGGGCCACTGGAAAATGTGCCTGAAGTCCTTCCTGTCAGCAACCCTGCCTGAGAGGGAAACAAAGGCTTTTGGAATTTTGAGGACGGTGCGTGGATGCTATAATTGAGGTCACAATGCAATGAGATGTTGAATGCAATGCCTAGGGAGGGTGCAGTTTGGGGAGAATGTGACATTACTTCTGAGTGAGGCTCTAGGAGTTTCCCTTAATCTCTATGGTAAAGACCACAGACAAACATGGAAATTCCTGGTACATCACTATGGAGGCCATTTTCCAGTCATTTTCTCCCACACCTCAGTTTCTCAAGGGTAGGGGCTTGGGGCCGAGACTGAGAGAGGGAAACCTAGCCACCAGAAAATGGTTGCCACAGGAGGCAATAACCAAATAGCTGCCATGGAGTGCTAAGGCCAATCACAGATTGTGGGGAGGCTGCTGTTTCTGAATGGTGGCTGCTGTTTCTGAACGGGTGCTCCTTGCAGACACATAGGTTGTTGTGTATGCTGGCCGCCACCAGGGGGTGCTCCTTGCAGACACATAGGTGATGCCTCCAGGGCTCTGTTGAAGCACTCCTTGCTCCAGTGAGGTGGAGGGAGGCCAGGACTGGCTGTTGGCTTTGGGGGAGTGATGCTTTCTTGTAAAAGCAAATGGGGATCAAGAAACCTATTGCAGTTCCTGGGCACTCACAGGCACTACATCTCCCCTGGATATGTATATAGTTGGCCTGCTGGCCGTTTGTCTTTGTCTTAGTTGTGTAAGAGTCAAGCGTGCACCATGTTATGGGAGCTGAGGAGGCCTAGCCACGCGGTCAACCCACTACACAATATAGGTGATGCCTCCAGGGCTCTGTTGAAGCACTCCTTGCTCCAGTGAGGTGGAGGGAGGCCAGCACTGGGGGAGTGATGCTTTCTTGTAAAAGCAAATGGGGATCAAGAAACCTATTGCAGTTCCTGGGCACTCACAGGCACTACATCGGCGATCTATTAATCCATTTACCTGCACTTGTTTTCCAAGTTCAACCAGAATTATAATTCCAGTGTCTACCATCTTCTTGCATTTGACTGCCCAGTCTTGGAAGGGAAGATACTGGCATCCCTGCTCCAAGAATTTGGATAGTCTTTCCTAAGGGTGAAAAAATTAATGAAGCATTAGGAACCATTGTTTTATTTCAGGTTTCCATAGGTTCAGGAAAGATTACAGACAATTTGTGAGGTTCCCCCCCCCTTCCAATTTCAAATTTAAACAGTTCAAACATCAGATCAAGGTCATAAATTATATAAATAACTAATCACATGAAGAAAATATAACATGACAGGGTCATATATTCGAACAGAAGTCATAACTCTGGCGAAATACCTTCACTAGGATTGCCACCTTTTGAACTGTCTTTTCTATGTATTCTCTTTAATAATAGCAAGATATGAAAGTGTTAGCTCACAGTGATCTAGGACCAGAGTTCTGCAATCAAACTGTTGTTAAAGGCATCAGGGCAGAACAGGCTATTTTGCCCCCTACTCAGGCAGCAACTTTGTGTTCATTAAATGTGGGGGGGGGATTTGGTGTACTTACATCTGTGGTATTGTCTTGTAGAACTTTTGCCATCATTATTACAACGAGTTTACATATAGAACATCTGAGGTTGAACTGAGGAAGAAAGAAGAAGAAAATTATTTGAGGGACTCACACAGAACTTTGTTTTTGCAAAACAAAATGAATTTGCTGCTGAAAAATATATTTTTTAATTTAATTAGATTTTAGGCTGCCCTATCTTGCAATGGTACAAAGCACAAAAAACCGCTGGCTAAAGATAAACAAAAATGTATAAAAATAATATTTAATGCCCAGTTCAGTAATACAGTCATATAACTATATAAAGCCAAGGTGTTCTTTCAAGAAACAACAGTAATACAGAAACATAGAAAAATAAAGTCCCCAAAATTTCAGTGTGTCTCACTCCTGTTGTATTGTAATTCCATAGTCCAACTTGACATGTATTCATCATAGACTGGACTCATATAGTTCCTGGAAAATCCAAAAAATCCATAAACCATAGAGATGCGTAGTCCGGATGCAAACTGCCACATTTCGAATAATTATTTTTCAAAACCAATAGGCTACAGTGGGACCTAATCTCAGTAGAAGCACATACAGAAGCCAGTATATTCAGTCATAAAGGATCCCTGGGTGGTCACTGGCAGGGGGAACTGCCCCACCATCTCCCTGCCAGAGCCACAAGGGGATCTGGCAACCCTACAGGCCCCTAATGGGGCTTACATGCTACATAGATCAGTTCTCCTGAGAAAATTATATTATACCTTGCTGAGGTTCCTCCCTTTCCTAAGCCCCACTCTCCCAAGGATCTACCCCTGAATGCTCAGAACAGCAGAGAGGGAAAATAATTTTAATGCCCATATGGCTGCTGGGCCAATAGAATGACATCACTTCCAGAGGAACCCAGAAGTGATATCAGCCATCTCTAGGAAGTACTGGAAACTCTGTGGTTTTACCATAGTCTCCAACAATTCCTATAGAGTGTGGTATAACTTAAAGGTTTTTCCGGAAGTGAAATCATGCCATTGCTGACAGTGCCCCCCCCCCATGCTCCTGGCCTCCTGCTTGTTGCTAGGCCATGCCTGGCAACCATAGTGCTGAGGCAATCTGGTGAACTCTCAGGAGCCAAAGAGGGAACAGAAAAAGATTACTCCCAAGGAAGAGGGGAGAAGGAGGTGGTGGCCTATGTCTCTTTGCCCTTCCACATGAACACAAAAATTAAAATGCACTTCATTGACATAATTTGCACAGCTTTTCTTGGGTAGAATTTTGATTTTGGTTTTCTTTTCTTTTTTTATTATTATTTCCCAACATCCATACTGGGAATTACTACCTTCCCCATGCCAGGAATTGCTTTTGTCTTGATTTCGTGCAAGAAATGTGGGGAAAGATACCATATGATTAATCCAGCCATTTGGACTGCCATCTTTTTTTTTCCTGACATGGCACCTATCCTTGTGACAGGTACATAGAGCCAGAAATTCACCTTGTGAAATGTTTCTCATCACCACATCTCCATTTTGGGATGAGAGCCACTGTTGAATTTATTTGTAACACATGCCAAAGGCACAGAGGCCCTGTCAGAAAGGTGCACTCCTACAACCAGTCCCCCCCCCCTTCCAGGAAGGCATGCATAATTACGCTTTCAGAAACATCCTAACATTTCCTTTAATGACTGTTCTGGGAACTACACCTCTTTGCCTTGGGAGTTCTCTCACACCCCAGATATGTGGAGGGAGACTGTAGTTAAGTTTCAAGTTTAAAACATTCTGGTACCTAGTCAGGGCCCAGGAGTGGACCCCAGAGAAGGCAGGTGCGAAAAGAGAAGGGGGTGGGGGAGAAGGAGAAGCTGAAAAAGAAGAGAACAGAGAAAGGTCATTAGGTTGCTGAGACAAAAGAAAATGGAAGAGGCTGCCAGGAGGAGGAAGCAGGGAAAGCTGAACTGGAGGCTGGCAGATACAGATAGTTCAGTTGGTGAGAGAGAGAGAAGGAAGCAGGGAAAGGGGAGGGTATTGGGGTCCAGGGTTGGGGCCCAATTGCTTTGAATAAGTCCAAGAGTGGAATTTAATATTGGGTGGATCTGTGAAGCAGGGTCCAGTAGCTTGAGCATCAAGCGCAGTAAGACATGACCATGACCAACAGAACTTTCCAAATTCTCATGAGTGGAATCTGTCAAGAGTTTAGGAAGTCCTACTGGTCATGTGTGACTTGCCACACTATATTTAAGGATGCCCAGGGGAAAAGGAGGGAAGGAACATTGGCGTTTGAAGGCGGAGGCATCTAGCCTGGAGGAATATTATCCTTTTAATAGAGGCTTAATGAGGTGCCGTTTACCAGTTGATGGCATTTACCTCCCTGCCCTGAAAAGCTTCAGCTGGCCAATGCCACACATCAAGCCTCTATTAAAGTGACAGGACCAATGCTCCCTCTAAGCTGTGGAGTCTTGTGAGCAAAGATTTTACTTTGTGAGCTACTGGCATTAAAGTTGTGAGCGAGCGATTTGGCTGCTGCATACATTAGTTTGCTCTTGAGCCATCCTTCCTGAGCTAAGACAAAAATGTGTGAGCTAGAGGCTAAAAAACTGTGAGCTAGCTCACACTAACTCAGCTTAGAGGGAACACTGGAGGGAACACTGGCTGCTGGCAATTGTTTATGGTTTTGGGTTGTTTTTATGATGGATTTTAATTGTATTTATATATGCATTTTATGTAAGCTGCCCTGAGCCTGCCTTGGCAGGGACTGCGGGGTATAAATTGAATACATAAATAAATAAATAAAGCCTAGGCAGAGGTTGTGCCCTCCAAAGCCACCTCTTGTGAAACAGCCATTGCTTATAAAGATGGTTGGCAAGGCATCCCTGGATAGTACACTTACCTCAGGGGATCTGTTCATGATTTGTTGACAGTGATCCAAGGTCCCGCATTTCAATGCTGTTGGGAAATCCTGACACTTTGTTTCTGGGCCTTCTACACACTCTTTGTCCCAAGTCAGAGGACTTGCAGTAGCTGTCAATAAGGTGGAAAGGGAAAATTAGACTAAAGCTGTACAGTGGAAAGATATCTTTGGCCCATTGTGAAAGAAAATATTTCCCTTCATGGAATCCATTTCTACCTTATTAAGCTGATTGACACAGTGTTAAGATTTAGAATGGAAGGACCAAGGCTCAAAAGCTAGAACAAGTACCTCAGCCCAAGTTGCCCATCAATAAAATGGGAATTATAGTGCTATACTAGCCTGAAACTCATGCTTTGCTTCAGTATTTAAGTTCCGCAAATCCAGTTATAATACTGATGATGTGAAGTTTGAAATGTAACATTTGCTGTAGGAATTCTAATGGAGAAGATTGTAGTGTAAAAACTGAAGTGAGACAGGCGTTCTGTTTTTTTTTTCTGTACTGAAGTACATCTCTGTAGACCACATTGGTGGTTCTGCCCTTAGGTGGTTCTGCCCTAGGATCACCAGGCTGCTTGGTGAGCTCACTCGAGAGCAGGCCATATAGAACTATCCATGTGAGAAGCAGTAGTCTCTGTTAAGTCTTGGGACTTGTTGATGGTCATAGGTGATCCTGCTGGGGTAGCCTCCGTGATGGATTAAAGTACCCTGGCCCTGCTCCTACACTTGACAAATGCCCGCCTGTTTGGTATAAGGGGGGGATTGTGTTTAAAGGAATTGGGGAGGCTGGGCCAGTAGCAGTGCTAAGGCAATCCTGCTGAGCGAGCCTCCATGATGGCTTTAAGAACTACACACCCCTTCCAACCCATGTCTGAAGGCATTGGGGAGGCTGCAGCAGCAGGATTGCTAAGGCAATGCTGCTTGGGCAGCCTCTCCAATGGTTTTCAATGCTCTGCCCCTGCTCTTGCACCTGACAGACAACTGCTTGTCAGTTGGCAAAGGGGTGGGTAGGAGTATGTCTAAAGCCTTTGGGGAGGCTGGCCCAGCAGCATTGCTAAGGTGTTTCTGCTTGGGTGGCCTCCCCGATGGATTAAAGTACCCTGGACTTCTTCCTACACCTGACAGACACCCACCTGTCTGGTGATGGGGGGAGTGTGTTTAAAGGCACCAGGGAGGCTGGGCCAGCAGCAGCACTAAGGCAATCCTGCTGAGCAAGCCTCCCCGATGGCTGTAAGCATCCCACCCCCTCTCCTACACCTGACAGGCAGCTGCCTGTCCAGTGTAGGAGGGGAGGGGTATTGCAAGCCATTGTGGAGGCTGAGCTGGCAGGATCGTTAAGGTGTTACTGCTGGGGTGGGCCCCCTGATGGCTTTAAGCACCCTGCACCTGCTGCTGCACCTGACAGACAGCCGCCTGTCAGTTGTAGGAGAGGGGGAGCATGTTTGAAGCCATGGGGGAGGCTGGGCCAGCAGGATTGCTGCATCTCACAGGTGGTTGGACATTCCTGATTTCCTCAACTGTCGTTAGCTCTCTGCAGTCTCCTATAACTGTTTTTACCTCAGAACACTAAGCTCTGCAGCTGACCAATCAGAGAGTGGGGGGTGGAAGGAGGCAGCAGCCTGGCAGCTACATAGGAAGCAATGGGTGGAGCACATTTTACTCCTTTTGACCCCCTTAGGGGTCAAATTTCTAAAAATCCCTTCTTAGTGAGCATCTATGTCATGGTAGGAAAGCTCTCCCCAAATTTCATGTTTCTAGGTCTAGGGGATTTTATGGTGAGGGGACTTTCTTTTATATATATATAGATGTGATAGTATCATATGTGGAGAAATGTGATAAAGTGGAAAATACAGAAACACTACAAAAATTGTTAAATACATTTACATATCCTCATACAATAGTTTTAAAACATCATTTTTTAAGCGACAATTTCTTCCTCAGATAAGAGGCAGGCTAATAAAGCATCCTTTCAGAGAACAAAATAATAGATTTGTGAATAAAAATAAGCATTTAAAATATAAGTAAAATAAAACTAAATAATAAAAACCATATTTATATAATAAATAACACTGTTTGGTTTTGTTTATAAAATTATTAATATAAGTTAGAATCTATGGTCTGAGACAAAAAAAAATCCAGCCACACTGTTGTAGGAAGAGAAACATTTGAGAAGAATAAATGGGGGGAGGCACATGAAGGAGATGGGGAAGACCCATTTGGCCACCACAGTGCAACTGGGATTGACCTGTAGCACAGCTCAACAGGCCATGTGCTCCAACAGTTCCTATTGTCCAGGGACCAATTTCATTTTTCTGATATGCCAGTGGTAAATCATTGCCCCAGTGTTGTCCAAGTTTTGGCTTCTCTGTCTAAACATGATGTTAATGTGAATAGCTAGACTTTTCAAAGTTCAGCTCCATCCCAAGGATCTCTAGAAGATAAACTTCTGGTGAAAACACCAACATGGATACAAAATGATGTGTATATGCACAAACACACACACACACACACACACACACACACATAGTCTCTAAGGGCATGTAATGTTGCCACTAAGGATGAGCACAAACTGGTCAATGAACTAAAGTTCATCACGAATTTTGGGCGATTTGTGAAGCAATGTTTGTAAACTGAAGAACCGCCATGAACTTTCATGAAGTTTGATGCAGTTTGTGGCATTTAAACCCATGCTTTCTGCTCTTCAAGAAAAACAGCTGTTTAGTTTAAGTGGCTGGGAGCCATTTAAACCCATGCTTTCTGCTTTTCATGGAAAGCAGAAAGCAGTAGTTTAAATGGCTCCTAGCTCCCCGCCAATCAGCTGTTTGGTTTAAATGCCCCCCTGCTTTCTGCTGCCCATGAAAAGCAGCAAGAAGCAGAAAGCAGGGTTGTAAACTTTAAATGGCTCACAAACCACTATGAGTTGGGTTAGTTCACAAACCAACCTCCCCATTCCTATGGGTTTGTGGTTCAGTTCGTAGTTCAGCCCATCCCTCGTTGCCACTCTACTGAAGCCGAGAAAATATGGACCTGGTCAATGTCTGGATGGGAGAATGCCTGGAAATCCTATACATGGTACCGTGAACTCCATAAAAGATAAGCTTTTTTTAACTGTCACAGGAACATTATGTCATCTCCCCCGACATATCTTTAACTACAAGAGAAAAAATCCCCCATTTAGGTTTTTAAATTAATGAAGGATTAGTTATTGAACAATGCAGCACACAGCAGGCTGAGCAAAACTTTTCAGAATAGAAAATAATGGTGAGGTTGGGCTCTAGCAGTGATCCTTGGTACAAATATAGTGGGATTAACAGCATGTCCTTATTTTCATTGGTGAAAGGTTGGAGGGTATGAGCCAGGGAATGATTGAAAGACTGAAGGTATCTAGGAAAAGAGCCTGTAGTGGCTTAATACAGGAAAAAGAGAGGTATGATGGCTGCCCTAACCTGAAAGGGCCAGGCTAACCTGGTATGATCAGATCTCAGAAGCTATGCAGGGTTGGCCTTGGTTAGCTCTGGCATGGGAGACCACAAAGGAAGTCCAGGCTTGCTGTGCAGAGACAGGCAATGGCAAAGTGCCTCCGTTCTTCTCTTGCCTTGAAAATCCGATGGAGTCGCCATAAATCAGCTGCAAATTGATCGCACTTTCCAGTATTGTTGTGGCTGCAGAACAGCTGAGAGGATTTAAGGGGGCTTGGGCAGGTTGGGGACGTTGCTGCTATCGTCTACCTGGAGGATCCATATTAGGGTTGCCAAGTTGATTTTTCCTACCTGCGGGGGAGCCTTGCTGGGCTCCGGGAGCTCTCTGTTGATGCATGCATGCACGCTGCCAGCACATCACCAAAAGTGACGCGCGACATCGAACACATTGAGGGCATGGCCCCGATCGTCGGAGGGAAAACCATAGAGTTTTCCCTCCGACGATCAGGGCCACGCCCTCAACGTGATCGACGTGGTTGCGTCACCTCTGGTGACGCAGCCACGCTGCGCTTCGAGGGGCAGAGTTCACCCCGGGGCTCGACTCTGCGGTGGTGGAAATCGGGCCTCCGAAGCGGGGGTTTACCCGCCCCCCCGCCCCCACTTGGCAGCCCTAATCCATATGTGCATTTGAAGCTGTGAGTCCACATGTAATAAAACCTCAAACAGAATGCCAAGAATTCTGGTGAGCAGTCTGGTGGGATGGGGCAGAGGTGAATGGCACACACAGAAGCTGAGGCAGGGGGGCTTGCCTCGTAAGGCCCTGAGGCAAATTACACCACTTGCTCCACCTCACCCAGGCTGCTAGGCTCCCCCAGGCTGGCTAGGGCCATAACTACTTCAAATAGGACTGACTTTTGTCACTGCTAGAATGGTTGCCTATCCTCCTGGGGCCAGTACTTTATGTTTACTGACTGCCTCCTCCTTTTATATGGTTGGATAGTTTTTAGATGATTAATCGATGGGGCTGAGAGTAAGGGGGACACTTGCTTAGAGTTTTTTGTTTGTTTTACTGGTTTTACTGGTTTTTGTTTGTTTTACTGAAGACCGAAAAAGAAAATATGAATGATGATCTTTGCTTCTCTCAATTCATGATAGCTTTTGTTTATTTAAATTGGACATTCTTCCATACTTCCTTCACTATTCTCAAAGTTATTAGTTTTGGCTGCTGATTTTGCTAAATAGAATTATTATAATTTATTGTCTTATTCAACCATATTTGATATTGTTTTACTGTATTTTTATGTAACTCCTCTTTGAGTGTCAGAAATACTACATAAATATTTGAAGTAAATATGTGAATCATGTTTTTAAGAGTGCAAGAACCTGAGGTTTGGTAATATAAAACATAGCTAAATTTGATTGCTTCACTGAATACTTAAAGAGTAGATAATTATCATCTTCACACATTACAGAATGCCCAGGTTGAACCTATGGGGGGGAAACCCATGTGTTCTCTGAAATACATATGGATTTGGCCCAAATTATACTTCCTCCAGGAATGTTTCAAATTGGGAAAATGACATGGGGGGTGAAGCCCCCTCTTCACGTGTGCTGTGGTTCTGATGCTGTCATGACCCCAGAGGGTCGCCTTCCGCCTTCCGCCACCCTGGACTTACGGTCCCTTGAGAAGGCCC